GATCTATGATTTAGCCGTGATAAATGGTTTGCTTTTCCAGAAAGCTATTTGAAGTTTGCCAGCAGGGAAAATATGTGAGGGAGTGATTCTGGTTATGAGTGGAGGTGCAAGAGATGCCCTGCGATTTTTGTATAGAAATTTGAATATAGTTCTAAGACTCGCAGAGCATGCTTCGTTCTATCCACGGTATCAATACGATGATGAAGCTGTTGCCTTGCTTTATGGTTCTTTGGAAATAAATATATGTTTTCTACTACTATTGGATAATTAACCCACTAATGGTGGACTTAGGAGTATGGAGTGGCCTCCACAGGTCAAAGAACTTGCCTCGCAGTAACCGAAAGTATATATTAGATTCAAGGCAATATGGTTTCGGGTGCCTGCCTTTCTCCTTTTTCATACCAGTGATCCAGCCACTGCCCCTGACCTGGGCAACCCCGATAAATGGGGAATGGAGATACCAGGGGGAGAGTTAGACAGCTGGAGAGTTGTAAAATCCAAGTTTCATCAAGAGATGCACATCTTAATTGCGCCCGCAGCGGATCTACCATCGAAGACGATCCTGTTTCCCTCTCTCCCCATAAACTGGGCATGTGGCAGCGCTCTATTGTTTTGTGAGGAGTGTCCCCTGGGTAATTGATGAATTTATGACCCCCATTCGGCATGGTGGAGTGCTAGGAGAGTTGCCCAATCACTTTTACTGATTGCCGCCCACCCTTATCGCGGGCTCAGATGCTTAGCTTGTTCTCCTAATTGGACGAAGGGGCACCAGGGGCTAATGGTTGGGCTAACGTGATCGGGGATTCCGGGAATCGCTGCTGCTGCACTTTTTCGGAGCCGCCTCGACGTGCTCCATTTCTGCCCGAATATGCCTTTGTTTCCGCTGCTGCCCGGCACTTGATTTCTGATTTCTCTCCGATTTCGACTTCGATCCGTTCCGTTCGCAGCTTCTGCATTGTTTTCATGAAAACTGGCACGTTCTGACCATTTATGGCTCACGCATGGCCAGCAGCGATAGCCCATTGTGGCCAGTCGAAGTCCGGAATCCAATGGAGATGTGTTAAGGCAACGAATGCTAATGACCAGAGGCTGGGAACTGCTCCAAGATGAGATCTGCATTGACTTTATACGATAATAAAGTCGGTAAAGTGTGGCACTAACAAGATACTCTACCAATCTGTTATAAACGAGGGAAGGAAGTGATCTGTACTTGGATTTGCTCATCACTCCACTCCATTAATGGACACTCTGGGATTAGTTGGCACATCTGCCTGGCCATTATCGTCCAGATAAAGTGACAAATCAATTGTTTTCCCATTTTCTCCCCCACCCAGACCAAATACTCTCATCCCAGGGGACACTAGGGGTGACTTTCTATACGAAAAAGTGTGCAATGAAAATATCTGCTCCCTCAGACAAATGGCTCAATTAGCAATCCACAAATATTGCCAGAGACGACTGCTCTGATATGTGGATATGGGGCTGGGTCAGGTGCCACAGTTCTCAACCAACAAATATCCATTTTTCCATGGGCCCTTGGCAACTGCCGAAGGGAAAAACAAAATCATTTAGATAAAGAAGCCAAGTGACGCCTACAATTTGGCTTTTTCCCAATTCACGCAAGCGAATTTATGATAGCGAGGCATAAATATATATTTACGGGGGTGTATATATATATTATATTCAGACGTGGTCTGGTCTGATTTACATACATTATTTATTCAGCTTCTAAATGGCAAATGGAAACCATGTTACAATGCTACGATGTTTACGAGGTGTTATGAATGAATCGAGCTAGCTGCTGGAATATGGGTATGGAGCCAAGTCATCTCCCATTTGCATATTTACGCGGCTCTCGCACCGAAATTGTTCCGAAAGAATGCCAAAGGTGGGTGCCAGTCAAGACACCCTGAAAATATAGCTCTTAATATGTTCAGTGAGCTACGAAAGGGAAATTTACCTAGAGTTTTATTTATTTTAAAGCCGTAGATGGTCATTCTTAGTCGGGTTTCTTCATAGCTTTATTATATTTCACTTGGGTTGGGTCAATTTAGTTGAAAACTATTGATTTCATAAAAAACCAGTACCTATGTGATAGTTCTAGATTTTTTAATTGTATTGGAGCTGTGCCAAAAATAAGCATAAACTTAATTTTAATATACCCTTACAGGGTATTTTAATTTAAGTAAAAAGTTTCTAACGCAGTGAAGGAGTCATTTCCGACCCCACAAACCATATATATTCTTGATCAGCATCAACAGGCGAATCTTCCTAGCCATCTTTGAGGCAAACTAAATTTTTTCGATTTTTGCAAAATTTTATAAGGGGTTACATCGTTAAAATTGCCAAAAATTGACAAAAAATTGTATTTTTAAGATTGTAAATTAAGTATGCAGATTTATTAACCTAGCAAAAACTAACACAGGACCGCTGTCCGAATTTAAATTAATGCCTTTTTGGCTGAGCTACGAGATTTGTAAGATTTGGTTTTAGGAAAAATTTTCATATAAAAATATTGGTAAATATCTACTAAAAAATGGTATTACAATTTAGTCCGAAGCGAAAAACGCAGTGAAGCAGTCATTTCCGACCCCATAAATCATATATATTCTTGATCAGCATCAACAGGCGAATCTTCCTAGCCATCTTCGAGGCAAACTAAATTTTGTTTCCATTTTTTCAAAATTTTATAAGGTGTTACATAGTTAAAATTGCCAAAAATTGGCAAAAAATTGTATTTTTAAGACTTTAATTGGAGTATGCAGATTTATTAACCTGGCAAAAACTAACACAGGACCGCTGTCCGAGTATAAATTAATTCCTTTTTAGCTTTTTATGAGTTTTTTAAGACCTATATATGTCTTATTAAAATATTGATTCAAAGATGCGAATATTTTAAGCTTAGTTAAGATCGATTCCGATTAGGTCCTATAACTCAATTGCAAACTACAAACTACAACTGTCCTATGATTTCGGAGCCCCCGCTAACTTTGACTCACATCTGGCTGTGATTTTGTTGTCCTCTTCTGGTCACTCTGCTGTCCTTTGTTTACACCTAAATATATATTTTTCTAACCCTAAGAGGAACCAAATTGTTTAAAATTGCCGACTAATTCTCTGAAATTCTAAATGCGGAATGCAGAATGAAGAGTGCGGAATGCGGGTGGGTTTTCGGACTCATCTTATTTCGGGATTTTTAGAAAACCGGTTGGTCGAGCGTGACTGCGACAAAGATCCAGTGAGACCGAAAACGAAAACAAACGATGGATAATGATAATGACTGTACAGAAGGATAATGCACATGCTAGGGAGACACAGCTGGCAGGAGGTGGAGAAGCATGCCCATTTCCATGCAAATTTGATGGACAAACTTTTATGTTGAGATACATATACAGAAACTCGAGAGGCCCACGATGCTTCATCTAAAAATAAATGGCATTTCGAAACTCTTTACGACTTGTCCATTTTAGATAAGAACACAAATCGATGGAAAGCCGCGCCAAAGTGTTTGGAAAATCAAATAAAATGCAGCTCAGCCGAGAATTAAATTAAATCAGATCCACTCCCCAAGCGAAAGTGACAATAAAACTCAGTTCATTGAGTTCGTTTTTCGCTGGGGGTCGCCGCCTCTCCGTTGACTTCGTTTGGTTCTCCAATTTTCCCGTCGCCTTGGCCTGTCCCGACTCCAACTCAGTCTCAGTCACAGCTCTTGACATGGCTCTTGACGTGCTGATATGGGCGTGGCACTTGGCACGCAAATCATGTCAAATGTCACATTCAGCCGGCAAAGAACACTGCAGCTGCACAGGCACAGATTGCAGGGGATGGGTTGGCCCCGGGATTGGGTAACAACAACTTCCTTCCTTTCTGTACGGAACGGGTTGCCGCCTGACCTTCAGCGCTGACTTGTTGAGGAGGGCTTCAGCTTTGTCTGCAGTTCCTCTTCCTTCCCGGCATTTTTTTCGGGGCGCGGAGTTCTTCACGCCCTCGGAAGAGGTACACAAATGTGTTTGGACAGCTGGGGTCTCGCAGACAACACAGCTACTGTTCCATATTATTCATTCCCGAACTGGGTAACATGAGCTTGGTCTCACATCTTCTGGCTAATTGAGCTTTTAGGGGAGAACTCTCGATGAACGTCTGCACTTGATATGCCAAGCATCGAGTTCTCTCATAATCGAATTGGGTTGGATGCATATCGAAATGTTTGTTATAGCCAAATAGCAACTGCAACCAGATATCACCAGATACAACATGGGGGCAGTCAACTCGAGCTAGGGAGAACCTGATACGGAATATGGAATAGATAGATATGTCGGAGATATATGGCCATTTGATCGGTGGTTGAGGCACTGTGCTTTATCATCATCTTTGTTGAGTACTCTAAGTAGCTCAAGGAATTTATTGTAAGAGCTTCATGTATAAATACGATCTACTTAACTATATACAGTATTGCCTTATTAACTTGGATTTAAGATGTCACTGGTTCACCCACAATAATTCTTTGAGCAGGATTATATAACATTAACAATATATGTTTCTCCATTACCTGCATAATTCTGCAGAAGATTTCAAAGATACTCCATGGTGTCTTTTCAGGATAATCTCTAATGGATATATTTTATTTTATTTTTTTTGTACTATCCTAATTCTCAATACTATCAGATACTTTCCAGAGATATTATTAATCTTTGTTCTTTAATAACACACTAATTTCGAGATAAAGGCAAATGTCGATGCAAATCGAAAATGGAATAGATCCAGTATCTTCGACTCCACCAAAGTCCCTTTCCTCAAAAACCCCTATTTTTTGAAGACCCGTACTATATACAAATGTATCTTCACTTCACACCGATTACCGAATGTGAGGCACGAAGAGCACCAGATACTTTAGCCGAACGCAGCCGAAGAGCCGAGACCCGAGCCGGCACAGCAGGCCGAAGCAGAGCTGCGCAGCGGGTTCCGAGCATCGTGTCAGTCTACGAAGTTGCCTGGTGCGGACCACGTCGAGCACAAGATACGCGGGATACTGTCAGATACTTTGAGAAAGATTCAAATACGAGTGCGAGTGCGAGACTTTTGCTACGTTTGTGGCTTTTTCGCGTAACGTCTTTTGTTTTTGACTTCGGCTTTGCGGATTTTTTGGCTTTTTGTCTTTTGCCCCGCGGCTAAACTTGAAATTATTGCTGATTCGGCGAAGTAGCAGATACAAAGATACAAGATACATATGCAGATGCGAGCTCAGCGCATATAAACAACAAGACTGAACAGAGTGAAGTGAGGAGGAGATACAAGTGACAGATAGACATCGCGCGAACCCACGTCGAGATACTTTATTTATATTGTCCTGGATTAAATATATCTAAAAGTCTCGATAGTGGCTCCATCGCCGCCATGTCCAGCTAAGCTGACCAGCTCCTGAGATCTCTGTATCAACCTCAACTCATCAACCCAGATTGCATCGCCGCCATGCTGGACAAGCAGAGCTCATCCTCCATCTCGATGTCAGCCTCCTGCTGCAGCTCCAACGCCACCAATGCGGACCTGGACTACGATGTGCCGGTCTCGCGGCGCATTCACATCAAAACGGTTAGTAGATAGCCAGGATTTCAGCTGTTGAAGCTATCTCTGCGCTGTGACAGTTGCATCTTCCCCGGGGAAACTGTAACGCATCTCTCAAAGCCTATCTCTGGCAGCTTAAATTTCCGCAATTCGCATTCGTTATCACCTGGCAGAGCGACACCGTTTGATGTGCCACTTTACGACACAGGTGAGATATCGCCATGTCGTGATAACTCCTTGTGCTTAGGGTCCCGTGCTTAAGTATTCGTTTTGAAAATTAACGAAGACATGAGCTCACCATCGTGATATGGAATCTAAGTGTGATTCCCTTCAGATATTTTTGGCTTTCGTTCTAAGTAGCTTCGATTAGATAGCATCAGAGTGATTAGATTTGAGGCTCTCACACGGACTCTACAAGTGAACCTAAAAGAACTCTGTAAGATGTAGTTAGAGGCTGGGATAAACTTCTGAAACTAATCTGTAGTCTCTCTGCTTAGCCTTAACATTCCTCACCAAGAGCCCAGTCATAATTACAGATCAATTTGGGTTTATTTAAGCCTCTCAAAGCATTCCAACTGATAAAAGTGAGGAATGCAAGCCTCTACCGCAACTGGTTTCTGTAAATGCCTTTGAGAGAAGTGCAGCCAAAAGTTGATCAATAGATTTATGCTGCCATATATTTCCATCAGGGAGTCACTCAATCAACTTCTTGTCGCCACACGCGGACATTAATTCTAATCAATTTCCCAGAGTCGGAGTCGCAGTCAGAGTCACTTGAAGTGTCGAAGCGTTGAAGCAGATATATGTCCTCTGTCTAGACGGATCGGTGGGGCGCCCACTTAATCAGAGAGAGAGCACCAGGAGCGCTCGATAGATGTCCCTCGGGGAGTCTGCTCTGCAGTTATCCCGAATACAAACCCTGAGTCTAACAGGGAGAAAGCAAGACCTCCCCTGGCACAATCTTAATTAATAATAAGGGCGGGCCGCTCCTTTTTCGTTCTTATCTCTGGATTTGTTTTTAGTTCCCCTCAAGATATAGTAGGGTCTTGGCTCGGGGTTCAGTGTGACGCTCAATTGAGGTTGATTAGATTTCGGTTGTGTGGAATTGTTTCTGCGATAGCAGCAGCCCTGGACTTGCCCTTATCCGAGTGGAGTGGCCTCTCCTGCGAGGTTGCCCCGATAAGGAGACACCAGCAACGTGCGTGGTGGTCTTTGCCACAGAGAATTCTTAAAGTTTCCTTTCAATCAATTGTCTGCCAAGCCAGGACTATTAATACTTCATTGAATTGGCCACGCATGCGGCCGGCCATCGGTCTGAGGCTAGTCCGTGGCCCCCAGCTCTTGGGTTGCCCTTAATTGCGGCCTTCAGTCAAGCGCACGTCCCTGCTAAAGGATGCACAGAGACTCTGGGGAACTATTAATTGCCATCAGTCAGCGGCATGCTAATAAACGCTTGCTCCTTCTAAAGGTCCCATCATAGAGATGAAAGCGTGACACGCTTAAGACAAGGTCCTGAAGGGGATATGTCCGTGCCCCCATTTTCTTGGCCATTGGATCCAGTCACGCGCCCATCTCCGACCCATGGACATATGAGGCAAGGCCAAAGAAGGCAGGAAACCCATCTTCGAATGTTTTCCGCTGTTTGCATTTTGAAATCTAAGCTGAGAACCGAACCGGTCTTCGGGGAGAGGAGCAGAGACCCCTAGAGCTCCACAACTCCAGACGGCGTCAATTACTTTTCGCATTTGTGCGCATTTGGAGCACATTTATTTTAATCTCACCTGTGTTCAAGTCTCAGCCTCCCTCTCTCCCTCTCTGTGCGTGTCTGTGATGGATGGATCCAACTCCAGCACCAACTCCATGCCCCTCGGCATCCCTTCAATTACTGGATACTTTGTGTCAGCAACTGTTAGGCCGGGGAACAAGTGTCCTCCGGCTGCCAGCCCCGGTCTGGCTTTGCTGTCCATGATCATGTCCGAGACACGGCTCTTGTAATTAGCCGTTGTTGTTTATTTAATTTCAAGCTTAATAACCACAACAGCCCAGAATATTGAGTGCCGGGCCGGACTGGGACTGGACTGGTAATGGGAGTGAGTGCATTTGCATTTGCATATGCAACTCTTGGCCAGACTCCCCGCTCTGCTCCTCCCCAGACTGACACCTCGTAAGCTTGCTAATTTATTTCAGCGCTCAAGTTGTGCAAACATTTTTTGCATTCAAATTTGTTCAACAGGTTGCCGTGGCTATGTCTGTCTGGGGTTCCCTCCTAATTGAGAATTGATGAATTTGGCAAGGTTAAGGTCCAAGGAAGGGGAGCTTTTTTCGTTAAGAACCAGTATAGAAAGGTGTCGAGAGATCAGGGAATAGCTAACGAGTTTCTTGTATAAGTAGTATACTTAGTTTGGTTATCCGTCTTTATTTTTCCGGTATATCAAGTTGCCTAAACCAAGTCAGTGAAGAAGAAAAACTTTCGCTGTTTGCAGTGCTGCTTAGTTATTTTATCTATTCGCATTCGACACTCGAGTTGCGTTCAGTTCACAGGCCTTTGCTCACTCACTCACTTGTCGTTATCTAACAGTTAAGAGAGTCATGTGCTGCCAAGCGAACACTGGCCGTCATTGCGGCCAAATGGATTGTGGGCCAACTGAATTATAGACTCGTCGTACAGTCTAGGGTGGAGATAATGAATCCCAATAATTGCAGGTGAAATGTACAGTGGCCTTTGCACTTCTCAAAGCTGCAAGAAACGTGCTAAGAGCAGAGAAGGTGACAAGGAGACAAGATGGTATGTAAACATGACCAGAACAGGAAGAGCCTGGCACTCGCAGGGTCATCTAGGAGAGCGCATTGTTTGTTTTCCAGACGTGCACAAGATGGAATTGCATTTATGAATTACAAATCTGACATGTCACGTTCCCTGGGCCCAAGACCCGGCCCTTAAAAGGAGAAGGCTTGACTAATTGCCGCGAAGTCAGAGTCGCAGTCCTTCAGAAGTCGTAGAACCCAGAGCGTAAGGCCGTGTTTACAGGGAATAAACAATGGCCAATTGGCCTCAGTCTCAGCCTCAGCTTCAGTCCTAGCAGCGACTGATTTTTCGCACTCTCTCCGCCTCGTCCTGTCCTCCTCGCCAGATAAGGAACTGGTCGTAACCGAGCAATAAAAGTTACATGTACATGCCAGCCATAAGTGGGGCTAGTGATTCCAGCAGCACCTTCCGCCTTAAGCCACTTAATGGGCCCATTTACTGTTGGTGCCAAGCGGAGATGGGCTACTGGAGTTGCTAAACGAGGAGCGATTTCAGCGGTCTTCCTCCGTCTTTCATAATGTCAGAAGCACTTATCTTCATGTTACGAAATTGTCGATTGCCGTCCATACGCTGTCTCTGGGTGAGCGATCGATATCTATGATGGTTCTACGAGCTCTGGTTTCTTTGAAATGTGGGGGATTGCCCAACCCTTGTAATTCCTTATCAGTAAGTGGCTGTTCGTGGGAAACCCCCTTATTGACAACTCATTTGTTTACCCAACTCAGAGATGCGTCTGTCAGTCAGCTCACTTTCGATTTGCGGGGGCCTCCACCTCCTCTCCTCCGGAGCTCAAAATAGATCCCAAACTGTAATCCATCATAACTCGAGATCGGAGTGCCCTCGGATGTTACATTTTTTCATCATCCAAAGTTCAAGGCGGCTTTCACGTGGGAGACTTGATCCTCTCACCCAAAACTGGAAACTGGCTAGAAGAAAAAAAAGAGTTAACAAAAGGCCGCGAGCAAACCCGATCGTCACCTCAGCGTCGGCAATTCCTCAGCCATGAGTCACGTCCGGGGTATTCCTCCGCCAGAGTCTGGTAAATGGAACTTAATGACTCCGGATCGGAGTAGGAGACAAAGTTAGTAAAATAAATCTTGTAAGACGCTCGAGGGAGATGATTGAATGAATGAATGAAAGAGCTGTTGAGCAAATTGCATGGCTCCAAAATGGTTTTAATTTCCTCCATTTTATGCATGTTTTATTTTCGGGGTTTCTCTTTCAGAGTTCTTCCTTTGCCTTTGGGGCACATTTCTTATTGTTTTTTTCGCTTTATGATATTTTTTATTACTTAATGTTTTAAGCATGCTTGGCTGTTAATTCGAGTTTTGTTGTTTTATCAAATGATTGATCTTTTGTGCAATGGCTTTTTATGATGGCCTCTAGGGTTGGGGTTATCTTTTTATTATCGCACTTGCCTTGTATATATGAGAAACAATTCATTATTAAATATATATTCTGAGGCCTTAAGTGAGTAAGTGCTTACAATAGCTGAAAGCTGAAACTTTACAGACACGCTCAAAAATTGATTTTGTTCGTTTGTTTCGTTCGACTAAATCACTTTGCCACAATTGAATGTTAACTGGTTGGGTTTTTTGTTTGTTATTTCTCTCTCGGGGAAGTAATTTTGCAACGTTTTTGCGTTTTTCCCTCGAAATTGCCGCGAAGGTCGACACAACACTTTATTTTAGTGTGTGCAGATTTCGTTTTATTTGTTCTTTAATATTTAAAGTCAACAGTTATTTTCCTTTGTGTTATTTTGCTTCGGTTTTTTGTACAGAAGTCTTGCCCAAGTTAATTGAATTGGCATATGTTTGCTTTGACGCCTGCTTTGTGAGTCATTTACCGAATTGGCCACGTTAAGTCCACAGAGAAATGCCCAATTGTTAAAATTTTTCATTCATTTAGGCAGTTTTGTGAATATTTTATTTGTATTTTGTCCCTAGCAACATTTGCCGATAGGTATTTTCCTGTACATTTTCTTTTAGATTTTGCTAGAGTATATTGAAGCACTTTTTTATTTCTTCTTTAAATTAACTTTTACTTCTTTAAACTACTCTATTGACAGAGTTCACTTGCTCAATTGAATTACCCTTTGCTCTGGATACATGCTCTGTACATACTATTCATGTAGATATAAACTGAAGCCTGAGAGCGCTTTGCCCGAGTTGAGGTAACTGAGCAATGCAAATTGAATGAGGGAGACGTCAGTGGAATTCAATTGCAATTGACTTGGGCCTGTCCAGGCAGAAAGAATCTATTGTTAAAATGGGGGGAGTCAGTGAAGTGCACGGTCGCCAAGTGCTGACCCGGGTTGACATGAGGCGGGAGCAGCTCCATGCACTTGTCAAAGCTGCTCAGCATCAATACCCCAACCGATTCCGAATCGATTCCGATTTCGACCCAGTCTTCGTCTCGGAACGTGTTTCTCTGTCCGCTCACTGACTGGCTTGATTTTTATTGTCACACCACATTATATACGGATTGCTTATCTTGGCTTTGCTTTATTTTTATACTATTGCAGGGTATTAATATTTCAGGCAGAAGTTTGCAAAATAGTTTACACAGTGAAGCAGTCATTTCCGACCCCATAAACCATATATATTCTTGATCAACATCATCAGCTGAATCTTTCTAGCCATCTTCGAGGGGTTACGTCATTAAAATTGACAAAAAACTGTATTACTAAAGATTGTAAATGTAATAAAAACTAGCATAGGAGCGTTTTCCGAATTAAAATAATTTGAAAACTGACCCTGCTTAAATTACGAACTAAAGGGTATACAAGCTTCGGCTGCTCGGGGTTTGCTTTGTTTTCTTGTTTTTTATTTATTTTTTACTCTTTATATTTTGGCACACACAAGTTTGCTGACGAAATGTGAGGAAAAGGCCGCCGCCAAAAAGAGCAGTAAACATTTTGTTTATTTTCGCACTGGGACGGCAAAAGAAAACCAGTTCAACGCGACGACAACGACATATGGCGTTTTATTATAGAAGTAACCCCAAAAATGTATTCCTCGCATCATTTCTACGTTTTCGTAACTCTCCTCGTTTCTCAGGAAAACTTTAATCAGTCATGACCCAAAGCCAAGGTTTAAAGTCCGATGGAAAGTGACGCGTTCGAGGGCTGGTAGATAATAGATTTGTGGTCAAGTCGGTCTTCTTTTCCTTTTGTTTCAATTTTGATCAAATTCCTCTATTAGTTTCATTTTTCAACAAATTCTGTTAATTAAAATTGCCAAAATAAATATTATCTGTCACGCGAGAGCGCTTCGCTTGGCTGTAGAATATTTGCTATATTATCAGCTGCCGAGGGGTTGGGATTTGGTAGGTTATCAGCTCACTTTTCTATTTGAAATTATTGCCAGGCCATCGAAATGACTGGACTTTGCAATAGGGACAGTTCCCTGCTCCATTAATCCGGTTAACGACCACTGGATAAAACCAATTGTCATCTTGTGTCGGAGTAGACAAAGTTTTGTTGATTTTCAAGTGCCCATTAAGATGTTTATTGGCGGCTTCTTCGCTTTTTTTTCTTTAAAAACTGAACTGCGTCTCGGCGGTTATTTATGTGCAAAAAAGAAAACATTTTCGGGGTTTGAGTAATTGAATGTTCAAGACATCGTGGATCGCAGCTACTCCTGGAATACATAAACAACTTGAGCTGAGCTCAGAGTTTCTTTGCCTTAACAAAATTTGCTGACTCTTTGATGAGGGGATTAGCTGTGGACCGTCATTAAAAACAGCTCCTTTTCTTTCTTTAAAGAAATATCAGAGAAGTTGGCCTGGGGCTGAAATGGTTTTTATTTAAAAATCCATGGAACATGTAAATCGGTTTTCTGTGATTTATGGCAGAGTTTGAGCCTGAGATTGGGATTGTGTGGTGGAGTTGGGAACTTTTTTAGTTCCGTTCTCCGTATCTCTTTCACAAAGGAATGCACTGAGCAAACCAATTAAAGTCCGCCCAAACAAACAAACAAACAAACAAACAGTCAAACAACTGTAAAAAGGCCCCTAATTTTTACCACAAGTCAATCCCAGACACAGGCGGAACTTCAAATCTTCCAATTCTCGCCTTCAAATATTTGCCCCTTCAATTAGCGCTGTGTCAAAAGGGGGAGAGGGGGAGGAGGAGGAGGAGGAGAAAGACTGAGATGGCCACGAAGAAAGCAGGTCTAATCCAGTCGAGCTCCAAGCCCAACAAGCATCTGAGATCCGAGCTGAGCCAAGTGTCACTCCGCGCACATGAACTTCAAGTGCGCTCGTTTTTCTTTTGACATTTGAACATTTCTCGCTTCCAGCTCCGAAGTGGCCGCGCTTTCCAAATTAAAGAGTAGAATGAATAGCTGGTGAGCCAGGTAAAAAAAGAAACGGGTTTCGAAACCACACTCCGCTCACCTGGACCGGGACGTGAAGTGGTGGTATCAGAGGCCCGAGTCGCGGGTTGAAAGTTCAGCAGCGATTGAATGCTCGATTTGTAATCGCTCACTGGCTTCCTCTCTCTCTGTGCACTGGGAATAATTGGTATAATGAAGGGATTTTAGCTTTTAATTAAACCGATTATAAACGAGTTATTCTGAATCCATGAAACAGTAGTTTAATATATAGCAAGGCTTTTTTTAAGCCACTTTTGGGATAAGAAAGCCAAAATATAATAAGGAGCTTCTTTTCAACTTGTGTTGTACTAAACCCAACCGCTTCTAACCAAAAACTAACTTAGCTTAAAACATAGGTGATTTTAAGTTGAATTTTTTAGGAACTTCTTGTCTGATCAACTATTTCTTATTTACTTCATAAATTCTGAATTGAAATCAATTCTAATTGAATATTTTCATCCGTGTAGGGAATGGGTAGAGAGCAAAGATTGGAGTGGGTCAAAAAACGGTGAAGGAGGTAAGGAGTAGTCACGTCTCGATTTCCTTCTTTTTCTACCATTGCAGGGTATTATAATTTTATTCAAAAGCATGCAAAGTGGTGAAGGAGCCATTTCCGACCCCATAAATCATATATATTCTTGATCAGCATCAACAGGCGAATCTTTCTAGCCATCTCCGGGAGAAACAAAATTTTTTCGATTTTTGCAAAATTTTATAAGGGGTTACATCATTAAAATTATCGAAAATTGTCAAAAAATTGAATTTCTTAAAATTGTAAATTGAGTATGCAGATTTATTAACATTACGAAAACTAACACAGGACCGCTGTCCGAATTTAAATTAATGCCTTTTTGGCTTAGTTACGGGTTTCTTAAGATTTGGTTTTTAGACCAAATTTTCCCATACAAATATATAACATTTATTAAAAGAATCTGAATATTTCAAGCTTGTTTTTAATCGTTTTTCGATCAGATATAATTCAATTGCAAACTGCAAGGGTATATAAACTGAGGCTTTTTAAAGTTAGTTTCCTTTCTTGTTGTTTTTGAATTTCTTTATACGTTGCGGTGGCGGAATTAAAAGCACCACGCTCTTAACTCCTAACCACTGGCACACACAGATACACACGCACACACACAGCGGCAATTACACATTCATTGAGCGAAAGAAAAGCAAATCAAAACGTTTGCCCCAAAGGCAGTCACAGTCGCGGTCAGTGAGTTAGGTACATGGCATACTATTTGTGGAATTAATGTGGGTTGGTAGCTTCCAGAGCTCATTCTCTTTACAATCTACAAATCTTTGAGTTCACAAAGATCAATATTTATGTTTGGCTCCTGGTGGTGAGAATGATTCTCCGATACTAATTTACCGTGATGCTACCTAAACTCAGATTGCAGAGCTCTTCGATGTCAGTCCCCATCACTCGTATCCTTGACAGCTAACCCCCTGACCCCGCCTGTTCGTCCACATGCCCACAGGCTCTCTAACCACCAAAAAGGCAAACACAAACACAAAGGCGGATAAAGAAGAACCTACCCAAAAAAGTTGACCTGAAATTCCGGCTAAACTAATGAAGGAAATAATAAATAACAAAAAACCAAAACCCATTGTTTTGCTCTCTCGCTCTCTATTATTTTTTGAATTTTTCGGCATTCTGCAGTTTTTTGCATTCATTTTGAGGCACAAAACTCGCTACCATAAAATGCTAAAAACATAAAACACGAAAGCTGAACAAAGATCACCATGGGGCCAGGAGCGCTTTCTTGTGAATGATGAAAGTCAAAGTTGAAGAAGGGGGAATCCGAATCTTCCTTTAAATTCTACTGGAAATGTGTGGTTTTGCGGCTTCTTAGAAGAGCAAAAATGGACCACTCTGATAATATAAGAACACACATTAATTGTTTCATGTTTTGCTTTTGATTTATTTGCAGAAACTTTATGCCAAGGCTATTTACGATAATTATGCAGACACGCCGGACGAGCTGCCCTTCAAGAAGGGCGACATCCTCACCGTCATCGAGCAGGACACGGAGGGCATTCAGGGCTGGTGGCTCTGCTCCCTGCGGAACCGACAGGTGAGTTGGGTTACGGAGGAGACCCTTCATCAGGGCTAACAGGGAAACGCCTTCCCCTTTGTCTTTCGTTCGTCTTTCCCTTCTTGTTTTGGTTCTTAATGTATCCCTGCTTGCGTCTGGGCTCTGTCTGCATTCGTAATTAAGCAATCGAAAGCATTTGCATAAGTTTTTCCATTTCATCCCATTCGGGAGACTAGAAAAAAACTCATTTCAATTTTTAATTTAATTTTTTAATTGTTTTTGTTTTGTCTGGAGTCCAAGGCGAGAAGCTGGAAAGCCTCGTCATCATCATCATGATCATCATTGGCGGCACGTGGCCCGCTGCATGCGGGAAAGCCATACATACCCCTTCTCAGAGCTTGATGTTCTTGTAAATTACACATTTTTGGCACTTCAATTGTGGCTGCAGCGATTATCAGGGAAAGAGCTAACATCGGGCAGGACGGGGCGTGAGCATAACCATTACCCAAGATTACCGCAGTGCACACAACACTATCTTTGGATGCGGTCGAAGTTGTTTGCTCTGATTTCGAAGGCAAACTGAAATGATACTCAAACAGAGATGGAAAGTACACATCGTATGTTTAAACTTTTATAAAGTCAGCGGAAAGAAAATGCTTAAATTCTTCGGAGAAGGAACATTACGGTGGAAAATAATTGTATACTTTGTAAAGGAAGTAACCCATGACCCATTTCGAAGATCTTTTTCCACTAATACTTTCTCCCCATACCATTTATACCATTTATCAAACGCACCCATAGCTAAAAGATCGATGTGGCCTCAATTTCCAATTTTTTGCTAATTATCGCAGCGCCCCAGGCAGCCTTGGGACTGACCAATCCCCCCACGACAACCCACAATCCAATCCCCAGATCTCCAAACACTTTTCAAAGCTGGGCAAAAAATTAAAAAATTTCTGCACGTTGTTCGTTCAATTAACAACTCAATTGGCGCCGCCTGACCGCCGGACCGATCAGTGATGATATGGTGTCAAAACATATATCAAAATGGAAATCAGTAGTGCTCGGAGCGATATGTACACCGATACCGATACCTATGGCTGTGGCTATGGCTACATAGAGTGCGGCCAATTGTCGCTAATTAAAAAGTAGCCACGGCTTTTTAATGGAAACAATTAACCCAAAAACGGCAGCCAATTGAGTGTCGAGAGCTGCAGAGCAATCCGAGCAGCAACAAAGTGTGGCATAAATATTTACAGCCAAAAAGTCAACGAAAAAGCTACTTTTTCAAGCTGAAGCACATGTTGACAAGATTTTCTGTCCGATTTTTTGATGTTTGGCACATATTTCTTTGGAGAAAAATTACACACATGTCATTGCGATGGAATTTTGTGAAATAAACAGACACGACATTATGTGAGATGGGGCTCGCAATTAAAAATGAACATTGCACACAGAAATGTTGCTATAACTCGGAACTTTTGGTTGCATTTTCGTGGGATATATACAATTTATATGTACATATACACATGTTATTCATTAATAATTCATACAGCATTGAGGTTGATTAAAAGCCAATCAAAACCAATTGAGATCAATGAGTATGGGTCCACACACCAGTCACCATTTATAGCCGATCGTGTTGGGTGTTCAAGGAGGGTCCAGTCGGAGTCCACCCTATTGCTAGAGATTCGAGGGAAACCCCTAAAGCTCAGTACCCCCCAAAAATACAATCAAATATACGTAATGCCATAGAATTGATTTATTCCTTAGTCAACTACTTCTCTCATCTTTTCACGTAACTCTATTCCAGGGTCTTTGTCCGGGCAACCGCCTACGCATCCTGAACTCTTACGACTCCGGCTGCTTCTCTCCGTCGCCGGCGAGCTCACCCATACCCTCGTTGGCCGCCAGCACAGCCACCCTGAACAGCTCCATCTGCTCGGCGGAGATCTACGAGAACGGATCCATCACCAGTGCGGCCTCAGCCTCGTCCAGCTGCGGCGGTCCGGGAACGGAGTCAACGTCGGCGCAGGGCCGTGGCGCGAGGAGATCTTGGCACGTCTCACCGAACAAGGTAGGTCCTCCAGCAGTCCCATCTGTTCTCGTCCCGGCTCACTTGTCAATTTCTTAATTTTCCGCTTGGCCGGACTCCGCCGCAGGGATCTTAATTGATTCTGCAGTTTGTACCCTTGCAGGGTATTATAATTTTAGTCAGATGCCTGAAAAATGGTGAAGGAGTCATTTCCGACCCCACAAACCATATATATTCTTGATCAGCATCATCAGCTGAATCTTTCTAGCCATCTTCGAGGGAAACAAATTTTTTTCGATTTTTGCAAAATTTTATAAGGGGTTACATCATTAAAATTGTCAAAAATTGGCAAAATTTGGAATTTTTAAAAATGTTAAATTGAGTATGCAGATTTATTAATCTAGTAAAAACTAGCATCGGAAAGCTTTCCGAACTAAAATAAATGCTTTTTTGGCAGAGTTATGAGATTTTTAAATCATTGATTTGTCGTATAAAATTTTTGAAAATTTTGTATCTTCATTATTATTGATTTTCAATACTATCCTATCCAATTCAATTGCAAACGGCAAGGGTATATAAACTTGGGCTTCTCGAACTTGCACTGCAGTAGTGCTTACTGAAACTGAATTATGATATTTGTCGGGAAAGTGAAAGAAAGTAATTTCTCGGCTCCTTTGGTCCGTTCCCAACGCTCCATCATTACGCTCTGAGGAGTCCGCGGTCCATGGTCCATTCATCTGCATCTCCGCCATCTTCATCTCTGCTGCTCCCCGCGCATCAACTGCGTGTCGTAATTGTGCAATTAATAAGAGTTGTGGCAGAGCCGATCCTCTCATGGTTCATGGATACAGCCTTAGCCTCTTGGGGTCCATGGCAGCTGTCCAACGGGTTTGGGTTTCGGTTTCTGTTTCGGTTTCCCGCCCCGAGCTCGTAACTCGCCAATTTGTCAGCTGGACATTCGTTTTATTTGCATTTCTCTCACTTTGATTCGATTTGATTTGGAAATTAAAGGAAACGAACAATTTGTGGATCGGAAGATCAATGAGTGATGGAGAGCCAGCTACTGCCTCAGCTACCAGCAGGAGGGATAACAGGATGTGGTTGCTCTGCAGCTTGCTACAGAGTTGCTGGCTCCCGGCCAGTCCAAGAGACTGACCCCAGCCCCTGCTCGTCCTCTGATGAGATTACTTGAACCTCCCGCCCTCTCTTCCAATCAAAGTCTTGGCTTGCACAACGGATCAAATTAATTGACCAAACTGATCATTAGCTCACACACCAGACCTCCGGCAGACACCAGGCTTGGCTTAAAGCTCGCTGACCTTTGGCGTTCGAGACGGTCGGACGCCCACCATCTGCGGTGGGATGATGGGACTGGGAGTGGGACTGGGACTGGGACTCGGACTCGGACTCGGTCTTGGTCTCGCATAAACGATGACTTTCGCTTTCCCTGGCCACTGACTAACTCACTGAATGACTGACTGACTAACTGACTGACTCGCAGGCAAATCAAATAAAATGAAACCCAAATTACAGAGTCGTAAACATTTCCTCGCATTATCGGCAGCTATCAATCTTAACTGGAGGCAAGTGAAACCATAAATTCAAATTCAAATGTTGCTGGAGGGGAGGAGGAGCTCTGCAAATCGCTCTGCGACGGCATTGCAGTTGAAGATCTTAAAGAGAAACCTTTCGCCATAAGAGCTTAGCGAGCGCTGCCTTTTGTTGCTGTTCGATTTTTATTGACTTTTGGGAAAACCTCTACCTATCTCTCTCACCACTTGAAGGCGTCAAAAGCCATGTGGGGAATGTATGGGATCGGATTGGACATGCACTTGACCGTATCATACAGATGCCTCAAGTGTGTGAGATGGAACGCAGTCTCTCTTTGACCCAATTCATGGTGGAGGCTAGGTGTTGTGGGGTTTGTGGGAGAACCTCTGACGGGAATGACTTGAATATACATATGTATATGGGTTAATGACTAACAAGAAGGAAGCTAGGTTAGGAAATGACTGCTTCACTGCTTTACTTGTTCTAAAGTTAAAAGATCGTAACCCTTTGAAGGCTAATGATTTGAGCATGAAGTAGGCGACATTCCATAGTCTTTGGGCTAATTGAGAACGGAAATGTCTGGCCCCGCTGAAAGTTGCGCAATCGTTGGACAGTGGCCCCAACATATATCCGTACTCTGGGCATCCCACATGTAGACACCACTTCTTATGGGTAGGAAAAGGCGCCTCCACCGTTAGCCAATCCGCCAGATACAGATACAAATGCTGTGTGACAATTTCAAGTTCCTTAAACCCACAAACGAGTCAGTAACACCTCCTCCTCCTTCGGCCGCCTCGTCACGCACCTCACATCAACTCGAAGCCAAGACCAAGTCAGGTGGCCACTGGCCAATGGCCAATGGAGATTTATGGCCAGAGCCAAAACGGGCGAGAAGGAGGCTCTCTTTGACTCTGCGTTTGAGCAAAACATGTCATTTTTATTTTTACTGCCCAAAAATGGTGAAAAATGCAGCCACAATAACTCTTTTTTTCCTTTGCTTTTTTATGTATTTGGTATTTGGGATTCTGCAGAGATTTGTGCGTGACCAAAGTCGGAAACTGGCGAGGATTCAGCTTTGGAGCTGCAGCTGGAGCCGGGCAATGCGGATTCGCTGAGAAAGCGCGGAAAACTTTGCCACGGTGCCAAGCAAGGTCGTCGTCTTGGAACCCACCTATTTGTTGGACACATCCTCAGTTTAACCTGAGAAGATCCTCCCGATCTTTGAAGAAAGCCTAGTCTTTCTTTCATTCTCTCTCCTCCCGCGATAATTAACATTTTCCGTAAAAATCTTCTTTCCTTCGTACGTGAGAAAATGCTGCATTTTTGTAGGCAGTTTGACAAAGAGAACCCCAAGAGCTGTGTGTACTTTCTGCGGTTCTTTCTTCGAAATATATGGAGGACTATCCGAGGGGGGCAGCTCTCCGAATGATGTGCTGAAGGTAGCATTGAAATGCAGGGAACAAGCTGCGTATGTAGCCAGGAGATGGCAATCTCTCGTTGCTACTGTTTTCGGGTTTGGAATTTAAACGAGAACGTGTAGTAAAAAATATTACACGGCCAGAATCTGGAATTACTCATAACCTGCGGAGAATTCAAACAGTCGGCCATTAAAAAGAAGAACGAAAGGTAAACCCGGCGATGGCCCAACCCATGGAGAGTGCCCCAAATGTGTCATAAATACACAAATCTTTGATACATGTTGATGCCTGGAAAAAGTTGCACTAACAAGAAAAGTCACGCGAAAGTTGGGCCCAGCATGTGGGTCGCCAGGAAGCCAGAAAGCCAAACCCATAAAGAGCCAAACCCGAAGACTACAGACAACAAATCCCGCTGGGCTTTGTCCCATTTTGAAGATTGCACAACCAAACGTACATTCAGGTGGTCTAGTTCCTCTCGAGAAATGCCGCCAGCTGCCCTGATTCCCCCGATAAGACGCGGTCCAGGCAGCCCAACTTCCAGCAGAGCTCGGATTCGGGTCCTCCTCTCAGCCTGAAGGGAAGTTGCAGCTGCAGCTGCTCGGAGGGATGTTAGGACCGCTCTTATTTATTATTTTGGCATTTTGTTGACTCGTGTTACGCGTCAATTGGCACTTCAAAGGCCTGGACAAAAGGCAGCCGGGCAGGACAGCACTTCAGGTAGAGAGCGATCCCCTCGGGGTACCCCTTCCGTAGGGTTTCCTTAAATGGGAATCGATTCTATTCGAGGGCGTGGCTCTTCTGTGGTGCGTGGCACTCTCCTGCGGCCCAACCTGATGAATTTGGCATATGTTGCCGCGATAATATTTCATCATTAATCGGGTAGGAAGCCAACATATGGCTAGAACCGAGTTATTTCCAATACATCAAAAATATATTGAGCACAGAGGGTTAAAGAGACCCATAGTCCACCACTAGGCACTCCCCTTCCTGAAACTAACTCACTTTTAATTTAAACAAGAAAATTATTTAACTTTGCGAAAGCTGCAGGTTCGATTGTTCATAACCAAGCCAAAAATGCATTCATTTAAATTCGGACAGCGCTCCTGTGTTAGTTTTTGCCAGGTTAATAAATCTGCATACTCCATTTACCATCTTAAAAAATACGGTTTTCTGCCAATTTTTGGCAATTTTAACGATGTAACCCCTTATAAAATTTTGCAAAAATCGAAAAAAATTGGTTTGCCTCGAAGATGGCTAGGAAGATTCGCCTGTTGATGCTGATCAAGAATATATATGATTTATGGGGTCGGAAATGACTGCTTCACTGCGTTTTTCGCTTCGGACTAAATTGTAATACCATTTTTTAGTAGATATTTTTATATGAAAATTTGTCCTAAAACCAAATCTTACACATCTCGTAGCTCAGCCAAAAAGGCATTAATTTAAATTCGGACAGCGGTCCTGTGTTAGTTTTTGCCACGTTAATAAATCTGCATACTCCATTTACCATCTTAAAAAATACGGTTTTCTGCCAATTTTTGGCAATTTTAACGATGTAACCCCTTATAAAATTTTGCAAAAATCGAAAAAAATTGGTTTGCCTCGAAGATGGCTAGGAAGATTCGCCTGTTGATGCTGATCAAGAATATATATGATTTATGGGGTCGGAAATGACTGCTTCACTGCGTTTTTCGCTTCGGACTAAAGTGTAATACCATTTTTTTAGTAGATATTTACCAGTATTTTTATATGAAAATTTGTCCTAAAATCAAATCTTACAAATCTCGTAGCTCAGCCAAAAAGGCATTAATTTAAATTCGGACAGCGGTCTTGTGTTAGTTTTTGCCAGGTTAATAAATCTGCATACTCCATTTACAGTCTTAAAAAATACAGTTTTTTGCCAATTTTTGGCAATTTTAATGATGTAACCCCTTATAAAATTTTGCAAAAATCGAAAAAAATTTGTTTGCCTCGAAGATGGCTAGGAAGATTCGCCTGTTGATGCTGATCAAGAATATATATGATTTATGGGGTCGGAAATGACTGCTTCACTGCGTTTTTCGCTTCGGACTAAATTGTAATACCATTTTTTTAGTAGATATTTACCAGTATTTTTATATGAAAATTTGTCCTAAAATCAAATCTTACAAATCTCGTAGCTCAGCCAAAAAGGCATTAATTTAAATTCGGACAGCGGTCCTGTGTTAGTTTTTGCCACGTTAATAAATCTGCATACTCCATTTACAGTCTTAAAAAACACAGTTTTTTGCCAATTTTGACAATTTTAATGATGTAACCCCTTATAAAAATTTGCAAAAATCGAAAAAAATTAGTTTGCCTCGAAGATGGCTAGGAAGATTCGCCTGTTGATGCTGATCAAGAATATATATGATTTATGGGGTCGGAAATGACTGCTTCACTGCGTTTTTCGCTTCGGACTAAAGTGTAATACCATTTTTTTAGTAGATATTTACCAGTATTTGTATATGAAAATTTGTCCTAAAATCAAATCTTACAAATCTCGTAGCTCAGCCAAAAAGGCATTAATTTAAATTCGGACAGCGGTCCTGTGTTAGTTTTTGCCACGTTAATAAATCTGCATACTCCATTTACAGTCTTAAAAAATACAGTTTTTTGCCAATTTTTGGCAATTTTAATGATGTAACCCCTTATAAAATTTTGCAAAAATCGAAAAAAATTTGTTTGCCTCGAAGATGGCTAGGAAGATTCGCCTGTTGATGCTGATCAAGAATATATATGATTTATGGGGTCGGAAATGACTGCTTCACTGCGTTTTTCGCTTCGGACTAAAGTGTAATACCATTTTTTTAGTAGATATTTACCAGTATTTTTATATGAAAATTTGTCCTAAAATCAAATCTTACAAATCTCGTAGCTCAGCCAAAAAGGCATTAATTTAAATTCGGACAGCGGTCTTGTGTTAGTTTTTGCCACGTTAATAAATCTGCATACTCCATTTACAGTCTTAAAAAACACAGTTTTTTGCCAATTTTTGACAATTTTAATGATGTAACCCCTTATAAAAATTTGCAAAAATCGAAAAAAATTAGTTTGCCTCGAAGATGGCTAGGAAGATTCGCCTGTTGATGCTGATCAAGAATATATATGATTTATGGGGTCGGAAATGACTGCTTCACTGCGTTTTTCGCTTCGGACTAAAGTGTAATACCATTTTTTTAGTAGATATTTACCAGTATTTGTATATGAAAATTTGTCCTAAAACCAAATCTTACAAATCTCGTAGCTCAGCCAAAAAGGCATTAATTTAAATTCGGACAGCGGTCCTGTGTTAGTTTTTGCCACGTTAATAAATCTGCATACTCCATTTACCATCTTAAAAAATACGGTTTTCTGCCAATTTTTGGCAATTTTAACGATGTAACCCCTTATAAAATTTTGCAAAAATCGAAAAAAAATTGTTTGCCTCGAAGATGGCTAGGAAGATTCGCCTGTTGATGCTGATCAAGAATATATATGATTTATGGGGTCGGAAATGACTGCTTCACTGCGTTTTTCGCTTCGGACTAAAGTGTAATACCATTTTTTTAGTAGATATTTACCAGTATTTGTATATGAAAATTTGTCCTAAAACCAAATCTTACAAATCTCGTAGCTCAGCCAAAAAGGCATTAATTTAAATTCGGACAGCGGTCCTGTGTTAGAGGATTTCTTGTGTATAAAGTAGGAAAACCTTTGCAGTAGTCGATTTTTTTTACATCTACCTTGCTGCAATGACTTCCTGTTTTTTCCACCACCACCGCCTTCCTTGTTTTGTTTTTGTTGCTGGCCCTTCTGAGGTCCTTTACCTTGACACTGAAGCGACTTGAACCAGGCCCCACTATTCCATGGAAATACATTGCGCAGGCGTCGAAACTAGAACGAATTTCGCAGTGAATTTCCCGACTTTCGACGAAGGCTTCAAGGGACTCGACAGTCGAGTTTTATACGCCGCAGAGCGACGTCTAACCACGCCGGATCCTTTCGGTTTTTCTACTCCATTTCTCTATACTCCTTGCACAAAGTGCACCTTGCACTTGCACAAAATGTGATAACAAGAGGAGGGAAATATAGGAAGCAGCAGCTCCGACCAGGTGAGGAATGGCAGCCACACCCAGGTGGATTTTGCTGAAGCGGAATGGGGCAGGCAGACGGAAAAATCGATAGGCCAGCGAGTGGCTGGGAGAGGGCGAGGGAGTGGGTACTACTCCGAGTAGTAGTAGTAGTAGTAGTAATAGTAGTGGTACTCGTGTCTCATCTCCCCTTTTCTCTTCCAGGTTATAACCCCACAGAGACACGGTGATGTCTACATCTACAACTACTCTCCAGGATCTGGGACAGGCACGGGAACGGCCAGCCCCCGCACACCCCAGCAGCAGCAGCAGCAGCAGCTGTACAGCAACCAAAGCATCTACCAGAACCTAGGAGCCATCGGCATGATGTCCCACAACGGGAGTGCTGCCGCTCCCAGTGGCAGTGAGTTCGAGACGTACGACATCCCCAAGCCCGCCACGCCTGTGCCGCTGAATTATGACAGCCCCAGGAGTGGAGGAGGCTCAAGAACGCCCACTAGCCTGTCAGCCCGCTTCGAGTCGTTAAAAAGCGTGCCGGCTTCCATTGAGGAAGAGTCCTACGATGTGCCCCGACCCCTGATCTCCGCCGGCCTAATGACCCAGATGACGCCGAGCACCTCCGCATCCTCGCTGCTGACCAGTGACAGCCTGTCGCTGAGCTTCTCTAGCTCTAATCGCTCCTCGCTGGCCAACATGCCCGACTATGACATACCGCGGCGCAATCCCCTGCCTGTGCGTCGTCAGCAGAGCGGTCTCGCTTACGATTCGCCTTTACCGCCGCTGCAGGAGCAGGACCACGGTGTTGCGCCCAGCAATACCGCCTCCGCCTCCGCCTGCGCCTCGGTCGCCTCCACGGTCACTCCCAAAGAATTGCCCCTGGAGCTGAGCTCGGCATTGGAAACGCTGGCCAAGCTACAGCTGCAAACGACAGCCGCCATCAGCCGGCTGCTGAGCTTCGTTGTGCCCAACTGGCGCACTCGAGCTCAGCTGGAACCGACCATCATGGAGCTGAAGCTGGCCGCCTTGCGGCTGCGCACCGCCCTGCACGACCTGGCCGAGTTCGGAGAGGGAGCTTTGGGTAATGCCACGCGTTCGGAGGACCGCGGCCTGGCCCTCAAACTGCGACCGCTGGTGCGCGCTCTGCGAGACGCCAATAAGCTGATTCATGACTCTTCTGAGTCACTGGACGCCCAGGGTGGCTGGTCCGTGGAGCAGCTAGCGCGCAGTGACGAAAAGCACGGCTGTCGCCCGCCGGACGCCCTTGACCAGCTGATGGCCTGTGCCCAGACCCTCACCGAGGACGTGCGCTCCACCACCAGCTTCATCCAGGGCAACGCCTCTCTGCTCTTCAAGCGCCAGGCGCAGCAGCAGAACGGAGGAGCTTCCGTCGTCGAAGGCAGCCGTGGCAGCGCCGAATGGCTTGAGGACTACGACTATGTGGCCTTCGAGTCCAAGGATGCGGCCGCCAGAAAGAATCAGGCTCTACGCGAGGCCATCCCCGCTGGCCTGAAGACCCAGTTTGACACGGTCATCCGCACAGCCGAGAGCACAGCCATGGGATCTGTGTCCAGCTCGGGCTCCGTGCCTACCACGCCAACGGCAACGGCCACAACGCCATGCAAGTCGCCGGAGATGACCGACAAAGACAAAAAGCTGGTGCGCTACTACGCCCAGCAGATCTCCACCCACATGGGCAACCTGATGCAGGCCATCGACTCGTTCTTGGAGACGGTGGAGAAGAACCAGCCACCCAAGTTCTTCATTGCCTACGGCAAGTTCGTAGTGGTCAGTGCTCACAACCTGGTGACCATCGGCGACAACGTGCATCGCAACATCTCGAAAGAGGTTCTCCGCGAGAAGATCCTGCGCTGCACGAACGGCCTGTCCGAAGCGCTTAAGACCTGCGTTTCCAAGTCGAAGAAGGCGGCGGCGCACTTTCCCAGCGGCAGTGCTGTCCAGGAGATGGTCGACTCTGTGGTCCACATCAACAGCCTGGCTCGGGAGCTGAAGACAGTCATGCTGCAGGCGGTGCAACTGTCTGCGGCAGCCGGAGTTGGAGCCTGAAGCAGCTGCGATCCGATTGTGGCTCAGTATTAACTTGGAGAAGTGCAGTCACGTCTTCCAGACCCCGGCCTCTCCCCACCCACGACGGTTCCTTAACGTTTCGCCTAAAGCTTTGGCCCCCGCAAACGGAAACCCAAACTAACCGAAATTGGCATATCCCCAGCAGCAGCAGACTTGCATTGTGATATTTTTCGAGCGAAACATCTGAAAATGCACACAGCCCGACCCCAAGGAGAAGGAGGTCGCCCAGGACTCGGCTTATATCTTAGTTGCTACCCAACAGAGTCAGTCGCCTAGCCCATAAGTTTTGATTTTGTACATAGTATATCCTAGCTCCCATCTTAGCTCTAGAATTTTGTAAATTCGATACGATCCCCACCCCGAGTCCATACCCGCCATGCGTGCACCAGCAATGTTGTATCAGTGGATGCATTTCAGAGTATTTTTGTATACTTTAGGATTAGACCGTAGCACTAGGCACAGCACACACTCATCCACATGTATGTTACGCATCCATAGTCAGAATCTGAAAGGTTACACTCAAGCCCCAAATGGCAGCGATGATAATCGGGCGGTCAGTCAGTCAGCAATATACGAAAATATACACATTAACCTAACATTAACTACGAAGTAAACGATGTCCAGCACCGGAGTAAGCTACATATACGAGTGGAATAAAAATATTATTATATTAAACCTATAAATCACTTGTGTAAGGAGCAGGTTAATTGTTTCTTGGAATTGGACTCCAGAGAACCTTCTATCTAATTGAGCTTGCTATGCAGGCCAGGAAAGTACCTTTACAGCGGGATTTCATAGGAACGGAAAATGAGAACCGAAATGAGGAAAATGAGAAAATTGCTATATAAATCAAACTTGCTATATATTAACAATTTTCTTAACTAGTTTGTATGACATTGTCCCCAATAACGTACAAAATACATTAACGTACAATCACATATCACGTATCCTTGGCACACCTGAAGCCCAGATTGCCGGCCGAGCTGTCCTCAGTGTTTTGAGAGCGAGCGGCACATCTGTAACGGTAGCAGTAGGACTTATGGCAGAGATAGGAGCCGCCCTTCTTCACCCGGTTTGGGTTCAAACTGACATCAGTGGCGTCCCACAGATCCGCTGTCCACTCCCACACGTTGCCCACCATGTTGTGGAGATCGTAGACGTTCTGTCGGAACGCATCCACGGGGCAGGTGTACTCGAAGCCGTCGTCAGCTAAGTTCCCATCGGGAAACTCGCCTTGCCAGATGTTCAGCCAGTGCTGGTCACGGGGCATCAGCTTGTTGCCCCAGGGATAGAGTTTGTCCTCCTTGCCACCGCGACAGGCCGCCTCCCACTCTGTCTCAGTGGGAAGCCGCTTTCCGGCCCAATGACAGTATTTCCTGGCGTCGCGCCAAGACACATGCACCACCGGGTGCTGTCCCAAGCCATTCAGATTACTGGCCGGACCGTATGGATGCCGCCAGTTCACGTCCTTGACTTTGTACCACCACGGAGCGCTGGCAACACGAAAGTCCTCCAGTTGCTTCTGTTCGGCGGGATCCAGCAGGGTCTTGAAGAGAAAACTGTCGCCGAAGCGCTCCGCCTCCGTGGTGTAGTTGGTGGCCAGCACAAACTGCTCGAAGTCGTCATTCGACACCTCGTACTTGTCCAAGTAAAAGTCCGCAACCTTCACTTTTCGTTTGGGCGCTTCCCGGTCCTGCCCAAAGTGCGGCTTGTCCGTACCCACGCTTACGGTGCCGCCGGGAATGATAGACATGCCTGGGAACTCCTCTTCAACATCCGCCTCGTCTCTAGACTCCAGCTCGCCATAGTAATCTCGGTAGTGGCTATTGGACCCCCGAGCCTTCTGCTGGCAAACCTGCTCCGGCACTGTCGCTGGCTGGTTCTCAGCGATGCTTTCTCTGTTAAGTTTCTGACAGCCGCAATCGCTCCAGGTGAGTTGGCATTGGTTAAGGATTAGCCACAAAACGCTGTGGAATGCAAATTCTTTCTTTAGTTTCATTATTATTGTTGTATTTAATTCATAAACTTTAAAGTGTGACCAGCGTGTTTTTGCACTTATATTGCTAAAAATTCTTCAGACTAAAACTCGTGCTCACGCCATCTGTCGGTATTTTGCTGAAACTTTGTCTGGGATTAGCCAACTTTCAAACCAATTCAAAGACATTATTTTGCATCATTTTGTCCACAATATTAACATTTTTTCAAAAACATTAACTAAGTTATTGTTTAATTTTAATCATTACGCAATTTAAAAGAACAAGTGGTCACAGTTACACAGTGGGTAAAACACATTAGAAACGACACGTACGAGTTAAATAAGTTAAAATTAGTTTATGGCGCAAATCGTGGTTAAAATGTGGCGGTGATGGTGACCGATCCGGCTTGGCTAAGCTTCGCTCGGCTTCTCGTGCAGCCAGGGCCGGAATATGGGCAGTGTTGACGGATAGTGCGTGTGCGTGTCCGGCTTTAGCACAGAGTCCGGCCAGGTGTTCGCGTTGGCGGCATCGCTGGCGTTGCGGAAGGGATACGTTGCCAGGACGATCGGCAGCTGCAGCTTGATCTCCTTCTCCATGGACTTTGGCTCGATTACGAAGAAGACATCGTACGATATCTTGATCAGATGGCAGCCATGCAGGTTAGTGGGCGGCAAGGGCGGCACGTACAGCTCGTTGTGCCACTCGTCTTTCCCGCCAGGTCTGATCTTGCCGCGCACCAGGACCGCCAGCTCCCGCTTCTCCGTCTGCACCACCTTGCCGCGCGCCAAGTACTCGATGGTCTGCAAGACTTCGATTAAGATTAAGTGGTTTAGAGAGTAAGGATCACGGACGCACCTCTGTTAAAGACGCCTTGGTCCGCTTGATGGACACGTTGCTGTAGTTGGATATAAACGCAGTGACCAGAATATTCTCCCCGGGTACATAGCCGCCCCGGTCCAGCGACACCCGGCACTTGATCTGGCCGCCGCCCACACACACAACGCCTAGCTTGTGCTCCACTTCGCAGGTAAAAGGTTGCTGTAAACGGAAGGAAGAACATGGAAGCTCACATTGTCCTGCATCATTTTAACAAGCATGTACATACCGCTAGTATTGGCTTCTCCAGATTCAGGTCAATTGGGTTCATCACGATAAACACCTGGTGATTCTTGTGGATAATGCCGTTGTTTTCGCGCAGGGCCGCCTTGCAGTAGAACTGGATCCAGCCGTAGCGGCCCAGGAAGGTCGAGGGGAGTCCCAGTGGTAGGCCGAGCTTGAAGGGAAAGCTGTGTATTCCTGGCGAGAGAATGGCCGGCCCACCCTGGTCCACATCGCCGAGCAGACGCATTCGGAAATCTATGTAGTTCTCCTTGTCGTACGTCCGCTCCTGCCTTCGTCCGTTGCGGACGACGCCCTCGCCGACGACATGGAAGTGGAGGCCCAAGGCCGGCGTCTCATCCTGCAGCTCAATCAGCACTCGGCCGGACAGGAACTGGCCGGGGAAGTAAAGCAGCGAGGTGTTGTCGAAGATGATCAGGAATTTTAGTAGCTTGCGCGGCATCTTGGCGGCGGTGTGTGATGGTTCCTGTGAGTGGAATGGCTTTCATGGGGTCCGTTGCTGTGGTTGCCTGGGGAAAGAGTCGCGAAATTGTTTAACTTATTGGGTACATTTGTGGATTCGCAATTATTTTGCCAGCGTTTTCGCATTAATGACAACTTGTCCGTCATACTTGGCTACGTCTCAACCGCCGCAGTGTATTGAACGCCACTCGCACACACTTATATATATTTATGTGGGTAGCAGCGCCTAGGCGGGCAAAGGAAGCAAAACCAGTTTGGCGTGGCCCCCAGAGATGGCTGCGTGCACGGCGGTCCATGCAGCACGATAGCCCCGAAACATGCGCAGCAAGGTCAGCACACCGATCATCTCGTGTCACGCCCCCAGCTCTTAGGCCAGAGTCGGGTATGTATCTTGGCCGAAACCGTAGGCTGCAACCACTGCCATAATCGGGGAGCAGGCACATCCACATCCACAGCCACTCTGGTTACTGCATCAGTTGACAATGTTTGGAAGAGGAAACTGACGTAACACCCAAGTGGAAGGAAAGTGGATTCCCGACAGTTCAAAGCCAGCGTCATACTTTTTGGGCCATTCAACCACAAATACACAGATCATAGAGTTCGTTTCCGCTGGAGATCACTCATTGTGGGCGCACTTGAAAGCCAAAAGCCCGATTGTTTCCCAAATACTGTACGTACGCACACACAAAGCAATCCAGTCCAAACCGATCCGCTGGGACACTGGCACAGAGCGACTTGGCTCGATCTCAACCGCGCTCGCTGACGCCCGTTTGGCAACTGGTCGTCGTCGCCGTCATCGTCATGCATCAGGCAGCTCGGAACAACTTGTTTTGAGAGCACTTTTCGCGATCCAACCGCTGGAGAGGAGAGAGATTCAGCTGGAGCCAAAGCCTCGGCCTAGATGATGTCGTAATATGCCAGGCGCTCGCTTTTGTTTTTATTATTGTTTGTACACAATACACCCGTTCCTGTATGGAACGGAGGTTCGCAGGATGCACTTAATGCGGCCGTTCCTCTGCAGGTGACTCAACCGGATTTAAGCGCCTGCTTGACCCACAACAAAAGACGAACGAACAATGGGCGGGAAGGCAGAAGGCAACCTGATATCTGGGGGAACCCTTAGAACAGTCATTCTCAGCGGTTTCCATATAGGCGCGTGGAATGTGTGTCTCTACACCTCATACTCCACATCGGCGAGCCTCGCAGGCCAATTTGGGTGAGCGATCCGCTCGATTACAAGAGTAGTTCGCTAATCAAATTTGGTAATGCTTACCAACCACTTCAAGAGCCGAGCCAGGCAGTCGTCGGGCAGGTGGAGCGTTGGCCTAACAAGTACGCAGACTATTTGTGGCCAAATGGGCTTGAGATTTGGACTTAGATTCAGATTCAGATTCGTACTCGTATTCGTATTCGGTCGCACCTACAAAATGCTTGACTTATACATAGCTCCGCCGCCATTCTCCGGCAGCCTGTACAGGCGCGCAGGCAGGTCCACAGGCACAGGCACATAAATGCATTAAGTGGCAAACATTTATGCATTATGCATGCAATTCATACCGGTTTAGTGTTGTCTTTAGGCACCCAATCGAAGAACCTCAACTGTAACTCATGAAAATGAAAGGCCAAAAGCCAAGCGGAGCTATCAAGTAAACAAAAAGAAACCAACCGCACTGGCTCCGAAAACCAGTGCTTTTATATGTACACTTTATATGTAGGTTGGTCTTTATGCTTCCTGCAAGAGGGGGATACGGTTAACTTGTCAACCATCACCAATCTGCTTCGAAAAGAATATTTTTCAGGCTGCTATTTGGGAATGATATCAATCAGGCTTAAAATCTTGTACTACAGTACATATAACATATGTAACTAACATTGCCCTAAAGGAGACTTGAAGGGAAAGTCCCACAATTAACATCTATAGCAGTCGCAGCATAAATCACTTTTGCTAAATACCCTGCTGATTACACACTACTTAAATTGTAGATGGTAGATTTAGTCAGATTTCTTTTTTCGATTTCTCCAAGCTACTTGCATTAGTGACACTTAGCGGTAATATGGAGTGGAGTGTAGTAGAGTGGAGTGGAGTGGCTGGGCCGGGGCTGGCGTTTTCCATTTCAATGTTTTCTCGCTTAATTGCTGAGAATTGTTGACTTTTAATTACCCTAAGAAGCCGCGAAAGATGGATGAAGGCAACGAGCTGGAAAGATTTCCCGTTTGCGGTCTGAAAATTAGTTTACTTCGACTTCGACTTCGGACGTCGTCTATATACTTGTTTGTTTCTTGTCTGAAATGATAATCGAGCATAGTTGGACCTCGGAGTTTCGGGTAGCAGTCAGTCAGTCAGTCAGCAATTAAGTCTATCAGAAGCTGGAGTGTTCAGTCAGTGTGGTTTCGTAGCTGCTCCGTGGTGCACCACCAACAGTATCAGTACGGCCAGGTTTCTGTTCGGTCAAGCTCTTCGTTCCGAGAGTAATTACAGTGGACCACAGTATGTAGCGCCATCACCGTTTCGGTCGGTCTTTCGGTCTTTCATAATAGTGGCGAAAGCCAGCCAAGAATATCTTAACGTAGCATCAGTTGTGGAGGGGAGTGGCTCGACCGACTGAACGACCGTTTTATACAACTTACCCACGATACCGTAAAATTCGAAGAGAAAAACAAAAGGTGCTGCTACGAGCTGAGCCTAGCTTCTTGCCTCACAAGCTCTGCGCCAAGCTTTGGCCACTATATTCGTGCTCTTCTCTTGGCCAGGTTTCGCTCTCTCTCTCTTGCCCGATTGGAGTTGGTCTTAAGTCGGACTTGGTCGCGCTGTGCCTCAGTTGTTGCGATGACGCCGAGTGCTGTGGTAAGACACGGGCCGCGTTGCCAGCCTGGGTCTGAGCTTCGCTCTTCCAATGGACAGGTGTAGCGGCGCGCGAGAAAGTTGAATCTGTAACAGGCCCGGGCGATCACGCTCGTAATGCAGTTCGCCATGAGTCATCCGCGGTGTTTACATCCCCGCCAGAGCGTGAATTAGTCTGCTCCAGTTTATTGGAGATCCTATCTCGGACAAAATGTGAACATGTGTTCTGAGTGGACAGAGGCACCAGCGTATTTACATAATTGGCTAATTACCCGATCTCTTGACACGTTGTTAACACCGATGGCGGACCAGATTCTTACACAGTGGAAGAAGAACTGTTAGCCAATTGTCTGCGGGATTGGGGTTAGCTGGGTGTCACAGAGGGTTCACTGGGAACACAGCAGAAGCCGCATAAATTACACCAAATGCTTTCTTTCGCCCGGTGCCAAAACCGTTAAATGCTCGTCGCGTCTTATACAATACCCGAATTTGCATACCCCGTCGGACACTTGTTCGGAATGAAGTGAAGTGTTAGCTAATCTTTAGTCTCTACGCGGTGTTTCCACAGAATGCCAGCAGCAGACATGACCACCCTGACCACTGAGCCCACGATTGCCGCACTGGAACTGAGCTTGCCAGTTGACGGTGACTTGGATTCGCTTGCCTCCCAGGAGGATGAAGACGGGGACAACCTGCCAATCTGGATCGATGGAGAGGAGCACTGGATAACCGGCGTAGACGCCAGCACTACCTGCGCCGATCTGATCTGTGCGCTTCTGAGCTACCGGAGTCTCCAGCAACAGCAGATGTATCGCAAGGAAGGTTTGAGGAGCCATTCTCCCGCACCTGCCGTCCATGGCCCTCAGGAGTACGCAATCGTCGAGAAGCAACGGAACTACGAGGAGTACCTGGACGGAAGTGCCAGGCTTTGCGATGTTATCGCCAGCCGTCACGCTTTGCCGAATGAGGAGAAGGTAACAGATCGCGATCGAACGATCGAACACCCTCAGCTAAACGTTTCTCACCCTCTTCCAGTACCAGCTCCAGCTACGCCATTTGGCCACCGCTACGTCCCGCAAACATACACCAACGACGGACAAGGACAGTGGAATGGGCAGTCCAGTGGATAGTTCGCGTAGCATGCGCTTTCGGCGCAGAGGCAAGAGCAAGGTTTTGCCCGCGACTATGGAGCTGGATCAGTGGGGCATGACTAAGGCCAACCCCAAGCAGCCAAAGAGAAGCCGAAGAGTGCAGCAGCAGCAGAAGAGCTCCCACATTTCGCCAAATGAGGGCCTACTGAACATTATCCTTGCGCAGGACGAGACCATTCTCCAGCAGATGTCCATGCTGCAGTAAGTGACACAACTATTCTTGCACATGAACACCGATTAAACCGATTCTCCGCCAGCGATAAGGACCGGCAGATACTAAAAATCGAGGAGGAGAAGCACCGCGTAAGGGAACGCGAACTGGGGAAGAACTACCTGCTCGAAACGTACCTGAGGGATCTAGAGGAGACCCAGGACAATGGCCACCCCGCCCGACTAAGCTCCACAGAGGGGCCCCCCAATAATCACGAGGATGGGGCTGCAGGTAAAGGATCATACTGAGATCTAAGATTTAGTCGCTTACGACCCCCTTTCAGAAATGGACTCCAGGATCGCCGATTCAGGTGAAGCCGTCAAGGACGAAATTCGATTGTACTGGCTGGAGAAGATCCACGCAGTGAACAAAGACTTGCAGCGGGAGGAGGAGCTGCTGCTTAGCCTACATTCCAAGGTGCGAAGACACCAGGTGAAGTGTGTGTACGAGACTAAGAGCGAAGTGCTGGTTCAGATTGACAAGCTGGACACTCAGCTGGCTGCTCAGGTGGCGGATATTCATCGAGTGGAACGAAAACTATTCACGGCCAATGAGCAACTTAAGGCCAAGCTTGGCGTGCTGGAGTCTTTGGGTCGCGAATTTGAGACAACGGTAACGGAGGAACGGTTCGTTCAAGAGGAGCCCCAAGAGGCCGTAAAACTGGCCAGACTAATACAATCATCGTGCCCGGCTGATGAGCACCAACCAGGTGATCCGCCTTCCGATCTCAACCGCCGCTGCCGCCTGACCCAAAAAGAGCTAACGGACAGGAACCTGAATGGTCACCAAAGGCCAATTAGCAAGGGCTTGACTAAGCTACTGTTCAAGGGACGCAGTAGCTCACCGAATTCTTCTACCTCCTACCCGCTCAATCCCGTAGAGCACCTGGGTACCCTTGTATAGGCTGGAAGGAGAAGGATTATTTAAGAATCTTGAGTGTCCAAGCTGTCAGAACCAAATAGAAATTTCATTCTTTGTTTATATTAAAAGAGAATTGTTTTGTACAACAAAAACGCTCTAAATGAGCCTACACCACCACCAAACGAGCTAGACACCAAAAATGCTGCTATTACTCACTTTTTATTGCTGCTTTTCAACTGCTGCATGAATCCCGCATTGGGCTGAATGCAGGGCCGCCAGGACTTGACGAGGTTGTAGGCTTCCTCGGCGCTCATATCGCGCCGCTGCATTAGATAGCCGATGACAACGGAGGCGGAGCGCGAGACGCCTGCGTTACAGTGGACGAGCACGCAACCCTGTGGCGACTGCCGGCGAGCCTCCTCGATAAACTCAATGGACACCGGCAGGACATAGCGCAGCAAGTCGGCATCGGGCAAGTCCAGGCAGGGAAGGTATTTGCATTTCACCTGCGTTGGCAGCTGTAGATCTCCAAAGCTGGGGGTCGGAATGCCCACGCTAAGTATGTGTGTCCACTTGTATCTCAGTACATTCTCCGCGGTCACAGCATCCTGGGAACCCAGGTAGAGAAACTCGCTTAGAATGCAGGCGGGCACGGTATCGGGTTTGGTGTCTACAACGAAGCCATATGGACGTGACTCTAGCTGCTGCTGTTGTGGGCTTCCGGATGCAGCTGTTCCCGTACCCTCCTCGTTGCTGGAAGACCTTCGCCTCGGTTCGATGTATCGAGACCCGGTGGCAGTCGTGACGACGGTGGTGGTTGGCCTTAAGTTGGCCAGCCGCTTCTGCAACTCATACAGCAGTATCATAATAGCCCTCCTAGTTGTCCGCTTCTTCGCGGTAGTGCACTCGGCACAGGTAGAGGCCGCAGGCCGGCGCCAGGTGTATCCGATGATCCCACGAGTTCTTTGAAGGAATGGTCAGCATCTGATAGATGCACTTCTCGTCGATACGGCCGCTGCCCAGGGCTATCAAAGTGCCCACGATACGACGCACTTGTTTGTACAGGAAGGACTTGGCCTTAATTTCGATGTCCCAGTAGTCGTAGGTCTCGTTGGCCACCTTGGCGTTCGAGGACAGTGACAGAGAGCGGCCGGGAAGTATATTGATCTCGTCGATCTTACGCAGCGTGAACATGGGATGGTCGCGGGTTGGGCCCTTCTGGCGGCTGACGCTCATAAAGGTGCGAAAGTCGTGGACACCAACAAACATCTGAGCCCCCAATCGGACTCGTTCGATATCAAAGCTAGGGTTTCTGTAGAAAAGAAGACAATAGTTAGTTTAGTTTGTATAACCGAGCAACTGCTGCGTTCTTAGAAGACTTACTGGCTCTGCAAGAAGAAACAACGATCGATTTCCTCCACGGGTATAAAGGCCTCGTATCCCCGGTTTCGCAGCCTGTGACTATCATCCGTAGCGGGCGGTGTCTTCGCCACGGCTATGCGGTACAGGTAGGTTCGCCCGATAGCGTGGTAGCGACAATGGAAGGAGTCGGCCACCAGCCGTGTGCTGAGTACCCGAATCGGAAGGCGCTGCTTATCGAGCGTCCGGTTGAGTACACCAGTCAGTGTGCTGGTGTCGTACGGCTGACCATCCCGCCGCTCCAAGTCAACGTGCACCGTTGAGTGCAGGGCATGGACACCTGCGTCTGTGCTGAAATAGAGAGCGTATATGTATGTAGCTGTAGCCGCCCCAATAAGTCCATTGGGTATACCTACCGACTGGAGAGCACAGTCTGTATCTCGTTCGCGGGACGGAAAACTTGCAGGGCCAACTCCAAGCAGCCCTGAACGGAATTAGTATCCAGCCGCGCCTGCTCAGACTTGTTCACGGTCTTCTGAATACCACTGTCGAAGAGTTGAAGGGTGATAAAGGGGTCTGGCATTCAGCGCATCCACAAATATGTACTTACCGAAAAGTCGTTCCAATGTAGGAAATGTTCAGCAAGTACCTGTTCATGTTATATAGCACTGTGCCTCTGCCAAGCACCAGCTGATTGCGTTTCCGGAACTTGACTAATTCTTGGTTTTGTGTACGCTTTCCAACACTAAGGTCGTATTCTTTTCCTTTGACTGTTCCACACGCGTCGTCTGGTCACATTGGCTGACAGACAAAAAGTTTTGTAATCACACAAAAATTAAGACCACTGTCGTTTGTCGTGAACCGACCACCGGTCTAGTAGTTTTTCAGGCTTGCCCAGCCGTCTATCCAAATTTCGAACAGCAGAGTTCCCCCAGCGCCAGACAGCACCAGCAACACCTTCCTCCCCAGCAGCACACGCATCAAGAATGGCCGGCTTTGTCGACAACACCCGCGCCACGGAGGATACGGAGGTCAATGGATGGATCCGATTTGGCTTGCGGCTAGGCGTCAGCGCAGCGCTGCACCCCTTAGAGTACTCGAAGACGCTGATGCAGCTGGGCTACGAGCCGATCGCCCCACGTCCGGGCAAGTCCTTCTTAGGCAAACCAGTGATGGAGCTGCCAAACATTTTTCAGTACGGTGGGTGCAAAGTTCTTGTCGCAAATGGCAGCAAATTGATTATATCTCTGTTGCAGCTGGTCATATACGACGTATCGACGGCTTCTACGGCTGCTACCGCGGACTCGCACCGAAACTGGTTGGCTCCATTGTGGCCCTAGTGGTGAGCGATCGAGTTGCCGACAAGCTGGGTCTGGTGCAGCCCGAGGAAATCAAGGACGATACACACTTGTCCGAGGAAGACATGCAAGTGCCTATTTGCTTCCCGTATCATGTCGAAATTCCTAGCGATCTTCCAATTCTCCTGCAGGTACTTCCAGTTTAAGTCGAGTCTGAAGCGTGATATTGTGGTGACGGTAACCGGAATAGTGGCCTCGCATCCTTTCCATGTGATCTCGCTGCGGATGATGGCGCAGTTTGTGGGACGCGAGTCCCTGTACACATCCATTATCGGATCCGTGGCCGAAATATGGAAAACTGAGGGCATTACGGGTTTCTTCGCTGGTCTGGTACCAAAGCTCTTGTGCGATGTGGCCTGCCTCGTGCTCACCAGCTCCACCGTCTACATCCTCAATAAATACGTCATCAAGGACCCCCTGGGAAGGCAGTATAATGCCGGTTTCACCCAATTTTTCGTGTCCACCATGTTGTACCCCCTCCAGGTGGTGTCCACATGCTCGGCGGTGAGTGGATCCCGCCTGCTAGCCGGTCAGCCGCCTATTATGCCAGCCTACAAGAATTGGGTGGACTGTTGGAACGATCTGCAAGCCCGTGGCGATCTAAAGCGCGGAAGCTCTCTCTTTTTCCGGTGAGTTTGATGATGATTTCTTAAGTATTTATTTAACCATTTTCGTGTACAGGTCGCAAGCCGTTAGATCGCCAGTTATTACCACTTCCTTTGCGCCTCTGCCGAAGCTGGCACGGTACCAGTAGACGCAGCCTTGTGACTAGAGACGACCACAAAGAAACCTCTCCGGACATCCCGCCACAACTACAACTGAACACGCTTAGCTGCGTTTACCCAGCATTTCGACGGATCCCTGATCCAACCCCAAGACAACTGCATTTGTTCAATGTCCCTCGATGATACTACAAGTATACCAATAAGACTTGAAATAGTATCTGCATTTCCATCGTGGTCGCTTAGTCTCATAAACCATATCCTTTGGTCCGTTCCTTCTTAGTTTTTGCGTTTTCGTGGCACTGAAAGTTGAGCTAAGCAATATGTAGAAGGCTAGCTTGTCCAGATCGTGTATACTTTGCGACATGATCCTGTTATTCTTTTTTTCATGCAAGAACAAATAAACTTTGACCCTTCTGAGGATGTTTCTTTTTCTTAAAACTTTAAGGATATTGATGTTTCAAATCGAGTTAAGTCTCGTACCGGTTGTGCTTCAAATTATGACGGTTAGAACTAGAATTCTCTTTTAGCAAAGAAAGGCAATGCGAACTAAAGAGAAATTAAATTTCTGTTTGCTACCAGAGTGGAAGTCGAAAGGGAAATGCGAAAAAAATTAAGAAATTAATGGCTCACCCTGAAGTCTAACCAATAAAGAAAAGAAATTGATGTAATATATCTTTCTTATTTATATGTATAATTTCTGCTATATTTTCCGTATTTATAATACAACTTAGCTTTACTAGTGGTTGCTTGGTTGATTGATTTTTACACAAGTTCTTTTATACAGTGCTTATTTTGCGGAGCCAATAAATAAATGTAACACACTATAATGTATTATAATGCCCTTAGAAATTGCAAAACTCTTAAAATATTTTACACATCGCATTTGCTAAGATTGTTTTTCTTTTTTAATCGGCTAATACCATATACTTCTTGGTCAAAAGAATATATGTATGTATATCCGCCCTATTTCAGCTGCCAACACTTATTCAATTAGCAATTGTAATAATCTCATTGGTAATACTTCCACGCGTGTTCTTAATTAGGAGCTTCCTGCTTAAACATCTAAGTATTTGCTGTGTGTGTGAAGTTGTAATTGTAATGTCATAGGCATATTCGTTAGAGGTTTCTTGTCGATAATCGTATATGTAACTATAGGCGCTGGTCTCTCGCTCATCCCTTGCCTATACTCCAACTTGGCGTACTTCTTGATATTTACACATTTTACTATATACGTACATGGATTACATTCATCTTCTTATGGCCAAGTTAAGATCTACATCTAAGTCTTGGGATATTAGTTGGTCTGCGCGCGCTGTGAGGCTTGAAGAGAGTGCATGATCGATGGTCTGATATGGCCATTTTTCTCCAATTAAAAGACAATAAAAAAGCATAAGATGCGAACGCATTCTGTACTTTGATTGATTCGAACTTAAATAAGTGTATGCGTTGCGGATATTATTCATTTATACATTGGCTTGGTCCAATTCCAAGTTGGAGCTGGCTTATTGCTTTTTTTGTTTTGGTCGGGACTTAATCCAACCAGCGGAAAAGGAGGACTTTTCTAAACTCCTTAGCTTTCGCAATAATTGACCGCATGTATTGCCTCACTAATGTTATGTATATAGATCTAAAATAAGAAATGAAATATTGTGGATCTGTGAGATGTTTTGTTTTTAAATAAGGCTTTTTGCTTTTATTAAATTTTTGCTAAAAACTAGAATTAAAATTAATAATCATTAATTAATAATTAAAGTTAACGTAATGGTATTAATTAAAAACATTTTGTCGCGCACACAAATATTTACAATTACACGTTAACCATCGTCGTTTTTAATGTTATCTCTCCTTCAATACATATTTATCATAATTATCCTCTATGTTTTTGCCTTTTGTTTTCTTTTTGTTTCACTTAATATTTTGGAATAAATATTTGTTGCATTTGTGTTTTTGAAAACTTGTTCTCCCTTTTGAGTGAAGATACACGACGCCCGACCGCTCGAGTCAATGAGAAAGTACACGATATATACGATAATTAATAAAACTATTGGCGACAAAGGAGCATTTTTTGTTGTTTTAGAGATCTAAGCGGACTTGCGCTACTCTCTTCTGGACCCATGTGTATCTATCGTTCCGGAATCGGAATCTGGAATGCAATCACACCGAGCGATTGAAGAAGGGCTGCTTCCACATGGTCGGTCCAAAGACACTATAAATGAGCATTGGGTTACGCATCTTAAATTTGTAGTGTCTTCTGGGGCTTAGATTGTGTTTTTTCCTTTTTGTGTTTGTGACTTGGCAGAGGCACCTTTGCTTAAAAAACCAGTGTACGTTGTTTGCCTACTTTACTATTGCTTCAACACGTTCCAAGAAAAAAAAAAAACGCAAAAGAACAAAGAGAATAAAAACCAATTTCTTTTATGGAGCTTTCCGATACGCTGCTGTTACACTTACATCTAAAATACAAATATTTCTGTTAATTTCTTGATCAACTCTCTATAGGTATGGCTATAGGGGTTTTTGGGGAACAGGGAGCTTTATATGCACTTAGATTGCGGCCACTACCGACTTTGATTTTTGCTAAGAACTACAATTAATGACTATCGCTACAATTGTTGAAATTGTCGTTACTCTTTTTGCACGCATTTAACAGTTTTTGCTAATATATATATCTATATATATTATTACGATTACTTTACGCATTATTAAATAATTATTAATAAATAGTATATGTGTATATGCTGGCTTTCATCGATCATCCCTTAGTGAGTGGAGGAGGGGCGTGGAAGGACTTATGGGCGACCTAAACCAAGAGCATTTTTGGATCGTTAGGCTAGACTTTTTTCTGTTGCTGTTCTCTCTTCATCTCGGAAACTTTAATACAGTAATTTACAAAAACCTTAAACATATGGAGGATGCTTCCACTAAAAATGTACAATTTAGCTTTACTTTACTTTTTTTGAGTTAATTAAGCAAATATATATATTTATATATATTTTAAGGGTAATATCTTGTGTTCAATCTTCATAACAAACCAGTGACGGACAGATAAAAGAGAGCAGAGGGAGGAGCAGGAACAGGAGCGGGCCTTACGAGCTAACTGTACAATTCAAACTCCGATTCGTGGGAGACTGATCTTCGTATTACCAAGGAAAGGGGGGCCAGGGATTTTGGAAATAGGGATGGGAAACACGCGTACTCGCTTACTATGATTATCATCTAACCTCACAGTCTTTTTTCAATGGAAGTAAACTGCCTCCTCCGCCATCGCCGGTGGCTCCAGGACCTCCTCCGCTGCCGCTGCTGTTGTTGTTGTTGCTATTATTGTTATTGTTGTTGTTCGAGTTGCTGTTGCAAGAGTTGCTGGACGCGGATCCGGTGCCACTGGCTGAGGGCAGCGAGTTGTTGCTATTCTCGTAGTTGCCCACGTTGACGCACAGCGGCGTTGTGGCGCCCACGAGGGACGACACAGGCACCCCGTGGCCTCCCTCGGACAGAGAGGTCGAGTCGTGGACGTCGGCACTCTTGCTGGAGTCTATCACCAGGCAGGGCGGCGACGGTGTGCCCGTGTCCTTGCCCAGCAGGGCCGGGGAAGCATTCGCGTTCTGGGAATGCGGCGTAAAACTGTTAAGCAGCAAGCCCTGCGGCGAGGCCTCGCCAATAGACGTGGTCATCAGGGGCAGGTGGTGGTCTGTTACAGGGGACGTGGTTTCCGCTGAAGGCTCGTCCTTCTTTGTCCCGATTATGTAGCCACCGCCTGTCAAGTTCCTGGCTATCTTGAGGCGCAGAGGTGCCGACGCGGCCGCCTCCACAGCTGCCGCTGCTGCTGGCTGCTGCTCCACACATGCTGCAATGGTCTCCGTTTTTCGCTTTCCGAAGCGAAGAATCAACTTGGGCTTGTCACCTGGCGAGGCGCTGGCCGTGTTCTCAATCAACGTGGTAGTCATGGTAGTTGTCGTGGAGCTGCTGCTGCTCAGGATCAGATGCTGCTTCTGACGCTTTTTCTTTTCCTTCTTGTCCTTCTTGGGCTTTGAGGACTTGGGCCTCTTGCTCGGTGGAATAGGGGGCATTATCAGGGACTCTTTCTCCTCCCGGACGAGGCCCTCGCGCTTATGGTTGTCCTCACCCTTGTCAAAGTCCTGCATCACCTTCTTACGATAGTTCATCGAGTCCCGCTTGATTTCCTCCAGCGTGGGTGTGCTGTAGTTGCTGGTAAGTCGTTTTTTGGGCGGACAGGCGCGTCGGGTCATCTCGTAGCTGTAGCTCTGACTCTCGTGACTCACGTTAGACAGCATCCCCGAAGGCGTCTCGTTCGTCCCCGTCAGTCCTCGGATTTTGATCTTGAGCTTGGGCGCCTGATGGTCATCCTCGCTGCTCTCCAGAGTCTTGCTTCGCCCACGTCGCTTACCTGCACTGCTGGCCGCTCCCGTCTTGCCATTGTTATCGTTGTTGTTACTGCCCGAACTGCAAGCACTGCGGCGCCTGCCGTCGCCGGCGGACGCTCCGGCACTTGCTCCCGCCACCGCCGTTCCGGAAAGCAACTGCTCCTCCCCAAGCACGGCGTTGGCATCCAGAGCGCGTAGCTCTCTGCTGCTCGAGCTCTTTTTAAACCTTTTAGAACCTGAGGAGGAAAGTTCCTCCTCTTCCTCGGATTTACGGAGCAGGTTATCCAGCGGCAGGCTATCCGAGGTGGCTGGCAGGCCGCACGAACTGTCGTCGTTCAGGTTGTCCTTCTGAACAACGTATAGACTGAGTAGCTCCTTCTTCCGCATTCGTCGCGAGTTGCCGCTGACCGCTGACGAGGCATTTACCACTGTGGACGTGGACACCGTTGTCTGCACGGCATTAGAAGACTGGACCAGAGTGCTGGACAGCGTCAGACTGCTGCTGTTCGCCATCGCCGTGTAGTGTTCGGTGTAAGCCAGCGGACTTTTGATCTTCAGCTTCAGGTGACTGCTGGCAGCGTGCTTGGTGTTCAGTGTAAGCGTGGTGTCCGAGTCGATCGAGACCTCTTCTGATGTGGCCTCCAAGGAGGCCTCTACGAGAGAGCCCTCCACCAGGTGCGTGGCAACCCCCGAGGCGATCGCACTGGGCGCCATTTGATTCGCTTCCGTGGAGTGAAGCAGGAGGTTCGCTGCAGTGGCTGGTTGGTTAGGTGGACCTGAGGGAGGCGCCACTGGCGTAGTAGTCGCCGCCGGTGGTTGCTTGCTAGGCGAGGTACCAGTACCGGTGGCCCGCAGCGCCGACTGGAACTGGCGCTCGTCGTCCTCGTCGAACTCGCTGAGCATTTGATCTGCGGTGCCAGAGTCAAAGGCGCCCAGCAGGTTATTCTGATAGGCCTCCTGGGAGGCCGTACTATGCGGCGCTTCAAAGCCCAGATTGTATGTTCTCATGTCCACGGGTCCCGGAAGTACGGGATGAAGCAGCGGGTTGGTGGCAGCAGTGGCCGCGGTATTCGGTGTTGTCGTTGTTGGGGGCGGCGGCGGCTGCTTGGCCTGTCCCCGTGCCGTTCGCAGCTCGAAGCTCCTGCGACGGTCCCGCAGAGACTGCAAATTCTCCACCACCGGACCGGTCATGTCGTCGTCATAGTTGTTGAACTCAAAGGGCGTTCCCACCAGATTGTTGACGATGTGCGTGTTGCTGCCATAATCCGCCATTTGCTGCTGCTGTAGGGACATCGCCATGCCACTTGCTCCAGCACCCGCCCCACGACCTCGTCCTCGACCCCTGCCTCTACCTCGTCCCTGGCCGCCTGAACCGGCGCTTCCTCGCGGCGCGCGCTGCCTTGGCTTGCCCTGAAGAGTATGTGTCTGCGGGTCGTACTTTGTGGGCGGCAAGGTCACCACGGGAGGCGGTGCTGGCGGTGTGGGTGGTTGAAGTGGTTGCCTGGGTGATTTTCCTGGCGATTTACCTTGCGGCAATTGTGGAGATTTGTGTGACTGCTTCTTGCCTGAGCTTCCACTGATGCTGCTGTTCCTCTTGCTGGGCGAATCCTTGGGTGCACTGACTGGCACTGGTACTGGTACTGGCGGAGTTGGTGGCATCATCGAGGCGGCGGTCTCAGCACAGCTGCTTAGCAGCTGGCCGGAATATGACGGCATCTTGCCGGCGACATCCACCGGGGACGATGTCATGGCAAGTTGCTGCTGCTGATGATTTGGTGTTGTCTGAACGGGAACGGCTACGGGTGGCAGCGCAGGTTGTGGCACGGGCAGCATACCCAGGTTGGGCGTAGAGTAGGGTGTACCCGAGTACTGGGTGGCGGCCTGAGGTGGCGGACCCACTCCGCCTACGACTACTCCTCCAACAGTACCATTGCCATACATGCTGGGCGATGTTTCCGTTGGCGTTGTCTGCGGATGGGGATGCATCAAGGCTGCTAGTTGGGGATAGATGCCACCATTGTACTGGCTATTGGGCGTTCTCCGCTGCTGGTGCGTTGGTGTCGTCTGCTGTTGCTGAGTAGGGTTGAACATGGGCATGGCATCGATACCATTCACCAGAGGTGCATGGTTGAAGGGCGCCGTTGCGTTTGGAGCACTGCCCGATGGCCCGCCATTCCCACTGGGATAGTTGTTGAAGAAGTTCTTGCAACTCTCCAGCTGGGCTAGCGTGCGGGCCGCGGATGCTGCCGCAGCTGCAACTGCTGCCGGAGGCGGAGGAGGATCGTTCGACTCGGATACTGAGCTGGGTGAGCTGCTTCTCCGCTCTGCGATGAGATCGTTCTCGTTCCAGGGAATTCTGCCGAACGGTGACTGCATGCGCGTGTTCTCATCGTAGTCGGTCATCTTGTTGTTGTTGCCACCACCACCGCCCGTTCCCGATTGCCCCGATTGTGTGGGCACGGCAGGTGCACCGCGATAGCCGCCTAGACTGTTCTTCACAGCTGCCGCCGCCAGGTCCACAAAGTCGGGAGTGGCTCCAGGTGGTCCAGCACCTGCACCTCCGCCGCCATTGCTAGACAGCGAACACGCTCCCTTTTGCAGAGGCGACTTGTCCAGGAAGAGGCTCAACGTTGGCGCTTGCTGGGCGCTGCCAAAGTTCACTTGGAAGCCGACGGTACCAGCCCCCAGATTGTTGGCGTTGTTGGTGGGCGTGGCATTGGGCGTGTTGGTCAGGCTGTTGGCATAGCTCCCACTGTTGGCCGTCATGGGGGAGTCCTTGATGGTCAGAGAAGCTACCGAGTTCGGTCCCGATGAGTTACCATAAAGACAGGCCTGGGCCTGCGCCTGTGCCTGCGACTGCTGCTGCTGTTGTAGTTGCTGCTGCTGTTGTTCCTTTTGGACGTGTATAATATCCTCCGGGTCAGCAGCATTGTGAAACGGAAATACCGAGGGTATCTGTGGTGTCGGTGGCAATAGGTCAACGGCTTCTTTAGAGCAGCAGTCATCTTGTTGTTTACGCTTCGTCTTGCGCAGCTTCTCCAATAGATTTCGTGTCGCCTGCGTGCTGTCCTCCTCGCAGATCTCCTTGCCCCTCTGGTGTCCATGTTGGCACCGAGGAGACTCATATGACCTGAATTGGGGGGATTCAGGACACTTGCCAGGCTCGAAGCGAAATTGTTGGCAAACTTGCTGTCCTCCATCTCGAGTATCGTGTCCACAATGGGCTCCAGGACGCATCGCCCGGAACCAGGTGTAGTCAGCACAGGGGGCAGGTGATCAATTATAGGCGTGTCATGATGCGGCGGCAACAACTGCTGCTGCTGCTGCTGCTGCTGCTGCTGCTGCTGGATTGCTGTCGTTGCTGCCTCGGTTGCTGGGGAATGCACAAGCAACGGTGGAGGCAAAGACTGCTCCTGCACTTGCACCGACTGCACCGACTGCACCTGCTGCTGATCTCCGCCCGAGTTGGCTGAGTTCGAGTCCAGTTCTATGATCTCCGGCGGATCGGGTGGAATAACCGTAACAGCTGGTGAGGATGTGGACGCCGAATACTTGCTGGCATTCGCCAGTAGCTCGTTCTTACGCTCCTCCTCCAGCTCTCGGGCCATTTCCATCTCATTAAGCAGGTGCTGGGTGTGATGCGTGTGCTCTTCGTCGGGCTCGTGGCTACGCCGCCTCCTTCGCCGCCTGGAGCGCCAGCGAACACGCCGGCGCTCGCTGAGATCACTGCCGGCGTCGGACAGTTCATCGTCATTCGAGGTAGGGGTTGGAGTCGGTGAGGCGGGCAGCGGAGCAGCTGGAGGACGCTCGTCATCGATGATGTCCGCCAGCTTGCTGGCACTGGCCGAGAGTTGCGTATGCGTCGGCACTATGGTCAGCTCCTCATCTATGTCCATGGGCAGTTCCCCGGCCTCAGCCGCAGTTTCCGGCTCGGGCTCTGGGTCGGGTTCAGGCTGCGCTTTCGATTCTACTTCAGGCAGGCGAATGGTAATGGCTGGCTCTTGCTCCCGCTCCTGCTCCTTGCCCTTCAGGTTTGGTGTTGGTGGCGTGGGAGACTTGGGTGGCAAAACTTGAAGAGCCGCGGAATGGTTCATCTGCTGTTGCTTCTTGTTGAGAAGCTTGTCCAGTGCACTGGTCGCCTTACCGGTGGCCGCCTTCCTTTGGTTAATTTCGTGCTCCAAGTTTGTCAGCTTTTTAGGCGACGACGACTCCTCTGCTCGTGACTTACGACGCAAAGAGGAGGATGTCTTCTCGGGTGAAGATTTCGCTGTGGGCGAGGGAGGACGAGATTTTGAGCCACGTGTCGCCCTCTTGGTGGCTTGTTCTGATTGCTGCTTGGCAGCGCCCTCATCTAAGGAACTTTGGCGACGTTGCAGTTGTGGAACCTTGGTGGGGGATATGTCCTCAGAAGCTGGCTTCTGCGTTGCTCTCTTTGGCGATTTGGTAGTGGAGTTTTGACGCGTTCGAGAGGCTGGCGGCGTGGGTGGAGGCGGTGGCGGAGCTGGAGGTTTATCCACGGACTTGCGAGGTGAACGCTTTGGCACATTAAAGGGAGCAGTCACAGGCACAGGCACAGCTACTGGCACCGGCACAGACGGCGCTGAGGCCGTGGCCTGTGCTGGCTTTTCAGTATCGGTGGCTGCCGATTCGCTATCAGAGTCGCTAGCACTGCCACTGGAACCACTGCTGCCTGAGCTGCTGGAGGAACTGGAACTGTCGCTGTCACCCGAACTGGAGCTTGAGAGGTTGGGAGCAGCTACGCGACGCTTGACCTGCGTTCCCGATGCTGCCGTCCCAGCTGCCTTAACTGGTGTTACCAGCACATCCTCCTTAGACCTTCTTCTATTGCCTGAGCTGGTGTCCTTTGGAGTGGTAGATGAAGGTTCCTTCAAGGACGTCCTCCTGGTCGGTTTGACTGGTGTTGTTGGAACTGCACCAGTTGCCGCCGACGCGGAACTCACCGGATCCTTCTCTTTCTCAATCTCATTTGTGATCATTGGGAAGACCTCCTGCGCAGGCTTGCTGCTCTTGAGCTGTTCGGCAGCCTTCTTGGCCGCTTGGCGTTGAGGAACAAGCGACACGGCAAAGTTGGACTTGGCTGACGCTGCTAGACTTGACGTGGACTTTGCATCAGTGGTAGGCGCTGCAGCTGGCTTCTCTTTGGGAGGCTGTGGCACCTCTCTCGGAACCTTGGGTGGTCTGCCGCGCTTGCCGCGTTCTGCCGGAGCGGTATCCGATCCCTTCCCGCCGCCGCCCGCTTGCTTTTGTGCCTGCTGTTCCTTCGGCCGCCCCTTTTCGAGATTGGTCTTATTATCCGCGGTGGAGGAACCAGCTTCCTTCAGCTTGTTGCTCTTGCCACTGGTTGAAGTCGAGGTGGAGTTAGGTTCAGGCTCTCTCACTCGCTCATTGACGTCTGTCTGAAGGAGAGCCGCGGCAAGATTTGTGGAGCGCATGTTCTCCGAGGCCTTCTTGGCCGCCTGCCGCTGTGGCACCACCAGTAAGTCTGCCGCATATGGCAACTTGGCATTAGAATTCGATTTCGATTTCGCACTGGTAGGAGGTCCTTCCTTGGCATCCTTTCCTTCCCGAGAGGACTTGGCTTTGGCGGCGGACGCTGTGACTGGTGGCGCGCGAGGAGTTGACGTTGCCGCTGCTGTCCCAGGTACAAACTCCTTCATTGCTGCCTTTGTCCTAACCGTCTGCTGGTTTTGGGAGTCACTGACGTTGCTCTCCACAGCTGCCTGCTCCTCCCGATCAGGATCCTTTTCTTGGCCCGAGGAACTACTCTCCGAGTCGGAGTATATGTGCTGACCCATCTTGCGACTTACTAGGGCCTGGCCAACGGACGTTCTGCCTCCAGACTGGCGGTCGCTGCCCCTTAGAGGCAGCAGCTCTTCACTTTCGTCGCTCGACAGGCTCTCCTCGGCATCCCTGTCCATTTGTGCAAGTCCCCGTGTGGCTGCTGTTGTCGTACTAAGTTTTCTCCTCGCTGCTGCTTCGGAGCTCGACTTTGATGACTTCGTGGGCTGGCTGGTGGTGGAGGCGTTGGTGGTTTTGCTGTTGCTGCTAGGTACTTGTTTGCTGTTGACTGGCTCATTGCGTCTCCGGCGGAGGTCGTTGTCCTCGTTTTCGCTAGAGCTGCTGCTGCCAGACCTGGAATCCGGAGACGCTGCAGAAATACCCGAAGCCGCTTCATTTTGACGACGCTGCCGCTGCTTCTGCCGCTGCTCCACGGAACGGGCGTAACTCTGCTTCTTGAGGGGACTTCCTCCCGCGGAGGACTTTCGCCTGGAGGCAGCACTTGAGCTCCCACTTCCGCTATCGCTGCCCGACTCACTGCCAGATGAACTGTCGGAACTGCTACTAGCATTCGCCGAGCTGGAATCACCAGATGATGAACTGCCGCTCGACGAATGGGAGGACGCTCCGCTGCTTCGGGGGCGGACAATCGATTGATTGATTCTGTTGTTGGTCGACGTCGCCGTCGCCGCCTCGCTCTTCGAGGCACGCCTCCCTGAAGGAAGCTTCCCGGGGGGCGAGCCTCGCACCTTGGCGGCAGATGGGACAAGTTTCCCCGCAACCGTTGTCATTGCTGGCTTTTCCGGTGAAGATGTGCGCGACGAACTGAGGGCACCATTGTTGAGCTTCTTATTTGACGACGCTTTGGCCGTCTGCTGTTGTTGCTTGCGCTTGTTGGGCGATTGAGATGCTCGACCACGGGCCTGCTTGTTACTCTGTAGCTTACCCATTAGCTGCTCGAGGATGTACTTTAAGTCCTGATACTGCGCCGGCACAGTTTGTCCTCCAGCCGAGCTGTAGAAGCGATCGTACAAAGTGGGTCCATCATTTGCATAGATGACGGCCTCCAGATCCATAGCGGGGCGCTGCTTCTCGTCAGGCTTCGGCTGCAGCTGTTGCTGCTGCTTTTCCAAGCGCATCTCGTCAAGCACGCCCAGCTGCTTGTAGAAGACCTGCTCGCGCAGCTTAAAGAGTGAGCGCGACAGCTTCTCCCTCCGACTGACCATGTAGCAGAGGTTTCTCACTCGCTCCAAGTCCTGGCGCAAGTGGACCACCAGCTTGTGATTCTCCAAGTCCTGCTGTTCTTGCTTGCGGGCAATCATCTCAACGTCCTCGGACTTGGGCGGGATCAGCTCACGGTTGTGTCTTGACTTGCGCTTGAGCTTCCAGTAGTTGTAGATGGCAATGATGGCATCGTCGTCGACATCAAACAGATGGCAGCTGATGTCGTTAATGTTCACGTGCTTGTCAAACTCCGCCTCCACCTCCTGAAAGGGAAATCATAAAAACAGAGTTAGCCCTGCGAAATCATGCAAACAGTTTTTGGTACTAACCTGTAGCCGCTGAGCCCTGGCCTGGTTACGTTCTTCGGAGGTCATGCTGTCATTCTTGCGATGATTCTTCCGTCTGCGCGGATCCTCGCCGCCGGCTGCGCCTGAGGCGTGATGCCCATCGTCGGTTTTGCTGGTACCGCTCGTGCCGCTGCCGTACTTGTTCGCTTTGTGCATGGCACTGGCCATTGAGGCACTGCCTCCATGGCCGGCATTCTCCTTCTTTCCCTTACTCATGCTGTGCTTTTGGCAGTAAGAGCGCAGCTTAACTCCGTCCTCGGCGTTGCCCTCCTCTATAATGGCACGCATCTCCAGACCGTGCTGAAACGCACAGGTTACGTGGTAGGCTGTCTTGCAGGGCTTAACTGAACACTGTATGCAGCTGCCCACCCGCTTCCGGCAGAGGACACAAATAAGGGACCAGCGCGATTGGGGAATGCTCGAGATTTTCGTTATGGGCTCCATGCGATCTACACAGCCGATGCTGACTTCAGGGATCCAGAGGGCGCAGGAGACGTGGGCCCAGTGCTTGCCCGACTTGTTTGACTTCATGGCACCTCCCTTGTTCGGACAGAGCACGCAGTCCGGCTTGATGCCCATCGAACAGGTCCGACATAGCCATTGTCCTGGAAAAGTAGAGTCCAATAAGAGTCTGAAGCATTCTCCCGTAGTCTAACTTACCTGACGGAATTGCCGTTATGCCGTAACAGGCCTGGTGTACGCAGATATTGCAATTATCACAGAATACCATTTCGTTGGCCTCCTCGGAGTCTGGTGAGCGGCAGACATCGCAGATGACATTCTCATCGAACTCGATACCCAAGCCTTCCTCCTGCTTAAGTATGACTTGTATCTGTTCCCAGCAACGAACCTGGAGCAGAGTCAGAGTCAGCACATAGTAAATGTTGAGACCCAAGGCCCACTCACCTCTAGTTCCTCAATCACGCGCTCGAACTGCGTCTCGTTGATGGGAAAAGCACCGCATTGGGCACGATCTCCGTTGTAGAGACGCAGCCAGGCCTCATCAATGGGATCTATGTCATAGGCACACGTGTTCTCCGCCAGGGCAACGACATTCGTCAGGTAATGCAGCTCCGGCGTGTAGTGCTCGTCTTTGGTAATGCGCAGATAGCGATTTTTCGGACTTAAGTGCACAGATGAAGAGACAAGCAAGAGGTTACAATATGTACTTAACCAGAGACTGGCTTTAACTCACAGCTTAAAGTCGTGTGCCGGCGACACAATAGGCTCGGACAGAACGTAGACACAGGGCTCAGGGAGAGAATCGGGATTGACGGGTACTTGAACGCCTTTCTCCCATTCCTGCTTCCACTGGTCCGTCACTATTAAATACTCATAGTTGGCCAACGGCTCAGAGTCTGGCAATTTCATTGCGCTAATGAGATCCTTGCTGCAGTAGGAAAATAAGAACATATATAGTCACGTCGGAAGTAGTTTCTTCAGAGGGTTATCGTTAATTCCTTACCGATAGAGTTCAGCTGGGGCTTCTGTCGAGCTGCGATTATATATGCTCGACATCTTGATGTCCGCAACAGACCTCGCCTGCCATGACGAGCTACTCGTACTCGCACCCTGCGACTTGCACGACTTGCTCGCTGACTTGCTCGCCAGCTTCGTTGACTTGGATTTGCTGGCGACGGCTCTTCCTCCCTCGCTTCCTCCTCCCATCTCGGGCACTGGCTCCCGTACCCGGTCCCGCTCCCCCTGTTGCTCTCCATGCTTGTTGCTGTTACTGCTTAGAGGTAGGCCTAGAACCCGCTCTAAGCCAGCGCCCGTCGTTTCACATGATGTGGAGGATGCTGCGGCGGCGGCGGCGGCAGCGGCTGCCACTGCTGCCGTGGTCGCTCCATTGGGCGGTCTGCCTTTGCGCCTTTTGGTGGGCGGCGGTTGGGGCTCAACATCCTTACGCTGTTGCTGCTGCGGCGGCGGATGGTGCGACTGGTGGTGATGCTGATTACCACGCTTACCTCTTTGTGACATTTTTCATTGGTGTTGAGTTGGTTTTGTGTGAGTTTATTTCTCGAGTGGTACCTTGTCCCTGTGTCTTGTGCTTGTAAGAGAACGGGTTCTGTGCTGCAAGACCTGGTAAAGCATGGAGGAGATGTTTTAAACCGGGTGATGAGTACATGACTCCATTGGATGGCAATTGGGAGTACTTACTACATGCTTAAGGCCACAGTTGACGACACCACACCGGCTGCTGCGGCTGCTGCTGCTGCGCTCTCGTGGCTGTGGTGCGATTGTGCTTCTTGGTGTGCCGCCCTTGGTGCCCCTTGGACATGGACGCCGCTGCTGCCCCAGCCCTGATATCCAGTAGCGACGCCACTTTGCAGTCCTGTGTGCTTCGCACGCTCCTCGGGCGAGTTAATCCACTCCCACGCTCCTCTCCGCTCGCCTTCCTTTTGTTATTGTTGTTCGTTGTTTTTGCACACACACACACTTTTGTGCGCTTCGCGTTTCTTCTACTCTTCCGCCGCAGTTTTTTTCGCTTGCGCTTAACTATTTCAGTTTATCGCTGAGCATCTGCTGGTGCTGCTGTATCCGATTGTTTGAAATTAGACATAAGAATTACATTAATCACTGATTAGCGGTCGCGTTTCAATTAAAGTTCCACATTTTTATGTCCATTCCCTGTGTGTTTTCACACACACCGAAAATACACAAAAAAAAATATAGAAAAACGCTCAGACTGCCGGTCAGTTGCTGGTGGCTACGATACCCACTGGCGTCCTCTCGCTCGCACGCATCACGCTCGGTAAGGGCGCGCTTACTTGGAGTGTAAGTGCGAGCAAGAGGCATGCAGGTGGCGCGTGTGTTGCATTCGCCAGCTTCTACTCAGCAGCCAGCCGTAGTCCTCCTCTGTTTCTCCACTGCTCGCATGCAATCATAGTTTTTTTTTTTTTGCACTTTTTCCACTTTTTATTGTACGAAATTTATTTATTATTGCAAACTTTAAGCCATCACACGGGACCCCGTCTGCCAGCACTTTCTGGAGCACACCAAAACACCCACAACGGGTAGCTACCTTGGCACAGTCTTGGGGGAGTTGAATTTTGTTATATATTTTTATACATTTGGGTTTTTTGCCGCCGCAGACACACACGCGAGGCACTTGTTACTGGGCCAAAGCAGCGCGGCCACCTCAAATTTCGTTTAGCATTTTTTTCAAACTCACGTTTCGCGATATTGCATTTGCATTCGCAAGAATTACAATTTTTATGATTATTTACAAGATTTTCCACAGATTTTTCTCTCAGATCGCCATGATGAACGGTTGCAAATTTAATATATCGAATATGCTTGTATTTAATAGTCGATACTACTCGATATCGATATCGAAGTATACTACGGCAACGCCACGGTCTTGAGTGAAGAGTCTGGCAACACCATCGGGTATGGATATGCTAAGTGTGACCAGCTGCTGTGATTGGCCAAATCCGCTGTTTCTGTGGAACTTCCGCGTTATTAACGGAAAAAATGGCAGGCATACTTCGCGCAATATACATATATACATATATATTCTTTTGGTTTAAACATTTAGCGGGTGGGTGGAACTCAGTCGTAATTACATCCGTTCGAACCACCGCATCGATCCGACTCCCGCTCGACAAAAAATACACGCGCAGCGACGGTCCGCAAGAAATCAGCGTAAATCACACACTCTCTTCGGGCGATAAACAACAACACTCGAAGAAAAACAATGAAGGTCTGCTGCATCGGCGCGGGATATGTCGGGGGCCCCACCTGCGCGGTGATGGCGCTCAAGTGTCCCGACATAGTCATTACCCTAGTGGACAAGAGCTCCGAGCGGATTGCCCAGTGGAATTCGGATAAATTACCAATTTACGAGGTGCGTTTTTCAATTGTGTGTACATAGGAAGCGTCCATGTGCCAGTGCTCGCGCGCGTGTGTGTGTGTTTGTGTGAGAGCGCTCACGCCTTGGCCTTGCAGTTTCTCTTTAGTTTTTGTTTTTTATTCGGGTTTAAACTAATCCTAAACAAACAAAACATCAATCAAACTGGAGATCCATCGAGAGAAGACGAAACGTCGTTGACCGCTCAATGCTCAAGTGGCTAAAAGGCAGCCCACTCCCCTTCTTCCCACCAAAACAAACCAGTTTCCCATGCACTGCAAGAATTTCCGATCTGATTCAGGGACCAACCAATAGGAACAGTTTTTAAACAAAAATCTATGGAAAAGTAAAGCAAATGTGAAGCGAAAAGCGCAATAGATATCGCATCTTAATTATGAGCCATTTTTTATGAAAACGTAGTATTTATAAGTTTACGTAAACATTTAAAAACTGTTACCGTTGCAATAATTCGAGTAACTTGGTTTTGTTACTTGTAAAAATTAAGTTTCTCGCAGTGTTGTACTCTACACTTGAAGAGATCAGTGCGTATACCGCACTTTCTGGGCTCTCTCAGGTGCCTTGGTCACTAGTACTTGGCCCACAACAAGGTCTATGGCCAGACAGTCAGTCCGTCATCGTTTTTGGCGGCCATTAGTCATTCATATGGATATAGGCGACGGCCAAAGCAAACTACAAAACTCACAAACAGAGCCAAAGATTATGGCGGAAATAAGATTTGGAAAGCAAAACAAGCGTGTACATCGATTTTACTTTTCAGATTCCGTGCTCAGGCAACTCTCCATTTCGGAAGCCATAAGGTGTAAGCCTCTTTCCGGGAGATTTCAGCACGGTAATCACTACCTCCCACTGTCGCATTTCCGTCCTGGCTTCCGCCTGCCCCCATTCTAGAGGGCTCCGGCCCGATTCTTCGCACTTAGCTGCTCTATTCCCCCTTATCGGGGGTCTGCGCCAAAACAGAGTCGCAGTCGCGGGAGCAGATAAGCACGAGGCGTTAGGCGGGTACACATTAGATGGAAATTGTCCAATTACCCACGTTCGTGGCAAACATACTCCGTATCTACCCCTCCACTCCCGCTGTCTCGTTCACGCTTTGTGGAAAAAAAACGGCAACAAATTATACATATATACCTATATTACAGTCAAGCTATTTACTCGGACAAGGCTATCTTTCTGTATTTATATATTTTGTTTGTATTTTCTCTCCGAACCCTTTTCTATAAGAACAATAGGCCCTAGGGAAGATTATAAATTTGCTGTCTTTGTGTTGATTATGGTTATTTGTAGAAAAATTATATTAGAAGCTATTACTTAATTTACTATCAATGCAATGAACAGCCAAAGCAGCTAGGTGACGAACGAGAGAGCTTCGCCTATTTTCTCTATTATTACTCAGTTCAGGGAAAAAGAGGAAGGTCTTTTACAAGCTCCGGAATTAATTCTGTTTTTGTTATAGGCATTTTTTTTTTTTATTAGAAATGACTATTTGAACACACGTATTAAGAATTAACCACAAGCATTGATGACCATAGTCGCTTAAACCGTTTTTGTTTTAAGCCCTGTACAAGTTAGAGATGTTTGCCTGTTACAGACAAATATACTCTTAATATATTTTATGAGCACACAGAAGCGGTGCCCGCAGAGGCTGGCTGGTCTCTCGCTATTGATATTCACTTACCAAGATTGCATCATCGGCAGCAAACGTGGTCATAACTTTGAGTACCTGCAATGCAATTTGCTGGAAATATCGAAGAGGCCTTGTCAATCATCGTCATTGACATCCTTCCGCTTGTTTTTGCATTTGCACAATTGGCTAGCTTTTTATCTACTCGTTTGCTCATTGTCTGTGTACCTATTATTGTCTCCCTAGTTTTGCAATCTCTATAACTTTTCATTTTTAAAAGCACGAATACCTTTCATTTATGACTTTCTAATATTGATCAGTTTTGAATTTGTTTTATAGCTAAATGCTAGGTAGATGATGTCCAGATCTCTCGTTATTAACACATGCCTCACCTCCACATAAACCCATATGCAAATTTTGATTCTCACAAAACGAGTTCAATGAACACTCAAATCGAATCAAAAACGGAAACAACTCTGCCTGAAAACGTTGAATGAAGTTGGAAATAAAGGAGAAAAAGAATTCGTGTGAATATAAGTCATGCATGAGATGTCATTGTAAGATCCGATGTCATACTTTCTTAATTAGTTGCTAAACGCCTTAAAACTGAATCTCTCAAAGTGCTCTTTCGGCACGTAAACACCAGCAACAGCGGGTTAATTGCAAGATAGCTTTCATAGGAAACGGAATCGGATAAGACTTCCCTCTACATACAAACATACATATATAATAAATATAATACAATCTTATCGGCGAGCAAAGAGGGAAACGTCTTCAACTGGCTGTTGGGTGGATCGTGGTTGGCATTTCAAGAGAAAAATTAAATCTAGGCCAACGACTTGTAATTTGTATAATATTTGAATGCTGTTATTCTTTCTTTTAGCCCGGTCTCGATGACGTGGTGAAAAAGTGCCGAAACGTTAACTTGTTCTTTTCTACGGATATCGAGACGGCCATCAAGGAGGCGGACCTTATTTTCATCTCGGTGAACACGCCCACAAAGACCTGCGGCAATGGCAAGGGTAAGTAAATATATGTGACAAAATATTATAATAATAATTCGCTGTCATTTTAATGGCGCTACTTATCATATGTCATCAGCTTTGGTACACAACTATAATGCCTTTCAGGGTCGGAAATGACTCCTTCACTTTTTTTTAAGCTTCTGATTAAAGGTGCAATACCATTTTTTGGCTCAATATTTAGCAGTATTTTTATTTACAAATTTGTCCTAAAATCAATACCATTTTTATACCCTTGCAGGGTATTATAATTTCAGTCAGAAGTTTGCAACGCAGTGAAGGAGGCACCTCCGACTATATAAAGTATATATATTCTTGATCAGGATCAACAGCCGAGTCGATCTAGCCATGTCCGTCTGTCCGTCTGTGCGTCTGTCCTTCTGTCCGTCTGTCCGTCAGTCCGTCTGTCCGTTTCTACGCAAACTAGTCTCTCAGTTTTGAAGCTATCTGAATGAAACTTTGTAGTTAGCCTTCTATATACTCTCACTCGTATATATGTCGGAACGGGCCGGATCGGACGACTATATCATATAGCTGCCATAGGAATGATCGGAAAATTTTTACAAAAAAATTTTTAACTTTTTCAGTTTTCAATAGAATTGGATCAAATTTGAGATATAGCCATTTTACTATACTCTACAATTTTGCATACAATTTTATGAAAATCGGACTACTGTATCATATAGCTCCCATAGGAACGATCGAGAAATTAATACAATTAAATTTATAACCTTTTCAGTTTTCAACTGATTTTCATCAAATTTTAGGTATAGGCATTAAATTTAAGTCTTAAATTTTGTGGTAAATTTCATGAAAATCGGACGACTATATCATATAGGTGCCATACAAACGATCGTTTGATGTGGAGGAAAAATGCAAATCAGTGAATGTAAAACTGCAAATATAATATGTATAGGTGAATGAAATGAAAGCAGGTATTACTTCATTGTTTTTTAACACAAAGATATATAAGTTCTATCTGCAAGGGTATATAAACTTCGGCGTGCCGAAGTTAGCTTCCTTTCTTGTTTAGTCTATATTTACCAATATTTTCATATGATAATTTGTTCTAAAATCAAATCTTACAAATCTCGTAGCTCAGCCAAAAAGGCATTAATTTAAATTCGGACAGCGGTCCTGTGATAGTTTTTGCCAGGTTAATAAATCTGCATACTCCATTTACAGTCTTAAAAAATACAGATTTTGCCAATTTTTGGCAATTTTAACGATGTAACCCCTTATAAAATTTTGCAAAAATCGAAAAAAATTTGTTTGCCTCGAAGATGGCTAGGAAGATTCGCCTGTTGATGCTGATCAAGAATATATATGATTTATGGGGTCGGAAATGACTGCTTCACTGCGTTTTTCGCTTCGGACTAAATTGCAACACCAATTTTAGTCGATATTTACCAATATTTTTATATGAAAATTTTACGACAAATGTTAATGTAAAAAACTCATAACTAAGCCAAAAAAGCATTAATTCCAATTCGAAAAGCGTTCGTATGTTCATTTTAGCTGGTTAATAAAACTGCATACTTAATTTAAAGTGTGAAGTTTTAGCCGATTTTAAAAAATTTTAACGATGTATATATATGATTTTCCTGAATTACTTACAGTAAATAAGATAAATTTTTTCTTTAATTCCCAGGACGAGCGGCGGATCTTAAATATGTGGAGAGTGCAGCCCGGATGATCGCCGAGATTGCGCAGTCCAACAAGATTGTGGTTGAAAAGAGCACGGTGCCCGTGCGGGCAGCGGAAAGCATCATGCACATTCTGCGGGCAAATCAGAAGCCCGGCATCCACTACGACATCCTGTCTAATCCAGAATTCCTGGCTGAGGGACTGCTATCAATGATCTGCTAAATGCTGATCGGGTTCTCATCGGCGGTGAGGAAACGCCCGAGGGCCATCAGGCTGTGGAGAAGCTTTCGTGGATCTATGAGCACTGGATACCCAAGCAGCACATTCTTACCACCAATACGTGGAGCAGCGAACTGTCCAAGTTGGCGGCCAATGCTTTTCTGGCTCAGCGCATCTCCAGCATCAATTCGCTATCCGCTGTGTGCGAGGCCACTGGTGCCGATGTCTCCGAGGTGGCAAGGGCCGTCGGTTTAGATTCTCGTATCGGTTCCAAGTTCCTGCAGGCCTCCGTAGGCTTCGGCGGTAGCTGCTTCCAAAAGGACATTCTCAACCTGATTTACATCTGCGAGAACCTCAATCTACCAGAAGTGGCAGCCTACTGGCAGCAGGTGATCGACATGAATGACTACCAGAAACGACGATTTTCGCAGAAGATCATCGAGAGTCTGTTCAACACAGTTTCGGACAAAAGGATAGCCATCCTCGGGTTCGCCTTCAAGAAGAATACGGGAGATACCCGAGAAACAGCGGCAATTACAGTATGCCAAACTCTCCTGGAGGAGGGTGCCAAGCTAGACATTTACGACCCCAAGGTTGAGCCCGAACAGATCATTGACGACCTCACGCATCCGACGGTTACGGAGTCGCCGGAGAATGTGAAGAAGGCAGTGCAGATCCACAGCGATCCATACAGTGCGGTGAGAGCCACACACGCTCTGGTCATCTGCACAGAGTGGGACGAGTTCGTAGACCTGGACTTCAAGCGCATCTACCAGTCCATGATGAAGCCGGCGTACATCTTTGATGGCCGCAAAATCCTCGATCACGAGCGACTTCAGCAGATCGGTTTCCATGTCCAGACCATTGGCAAGAAGTACCAGCGCGCTGGACTGCTCAGGTCGTGGGGCATTGTACCGCAGCTATAGGCGCGGCGGACGACGATGGTTAAGGAGGGGGTGGTGGCATTTACACTTAAAGTTGGCGAAATTTCCAGTATTTGCGAGACGAAATTGTAAATATCTGCAACCCTGCGTTGGACGATTTATGGGACAAAGAAAGTCTGACGAAGATTCTAAGCGAGTATAAAGTAATAATTCTTATATTAATTTCAAGCTTAAATCTAATCTAGAAAAGTGTTTGCAGTCCAGGAAAATATTACTAGATGTTTAGAGTTTAAAGTTCTCAAATGGTTTCCATTTTAATTTTCACCTCTTATTAGTATTAAATAATGCGACTCTTTTGTACATAATTGCAATAAGCAAACACAAGCGACGCTTTTATAAAAAGGTAATCTGATAGGAGAACAATTCAGTTAAATATTAAACATTTTCGAACTTCTGTTAATTCATTTCTTCGCCTGAAACTTTTAATTTTAAATCCTAAATTTGATCCCGACCTAAGATCTGTAAAGTATTCAGCTAGAAGCGTATTTGTATTCCTATTAATTCCAATTCCTGCGCCGATCCGGCAGTTGCAATATAAAAGCCTCCGCGGGCTCTATCCTCTCCTGCGGAGGTTCAATAATAAAAAAACCAAGCATTTACACGAAGCTTGTAAATTTTATACAAATAACAAGATTGAATTTAACTAGAAGGGTTTTCTCTTGACTATCTGTCGGTACCAGAGGAAGCTTGTGGCTGCTGACAAACTGAACCAGGTGACCAGGTACGACAAGTGATCATTGCGCATGGTTACACGGGTTTGGCCCCCAATTGGGCCGCTCTTAGCTGTCTGCTCATCGTATATGGCATCCAGGAACACCGGCGCCGCTCCTGTGGAGGAGGACATGCGTGGCAGGTCGCGATATAGGTAGACATTGCCTCCTTTGTGGTCAGGTGTGAATTGAGGACGTGATTCTCCCTTACGCACCACGGCTGTGATCTCCACTTCCGACTTTGGTTGACTTAAGGGCCGGGATTCAGGTTCCACGTGCTTCCGCGACACCCAACCCCGATTAATCAGGACAATGTCACTGTAGGGAATGAGGAATTCAGTCAGGCTAATCTGGATTTCCCCTGTGAGTGGCTTACTCTCTGTCAGCTAGCTGAAAAGGCGTAACTATAAGATAACCATTGCCTGAATCCCGCTGGGAGAACAGCCCTCCTTGGGTCTCTACACCATCAGGACGAATGAGCGATCTGGGACCCATGCGCATCTCTTTTTCATGCAGAAACCGACCACGTATCTTTACCAGGCGGTACTCCATAAGATCCAGATCGCTGAGACTGCAAAGATTATTTTGAATTGAGGGAGATACTTGTTGCATTGAATGAGGGATATGAATATTACTTGTCCGGCAGGTGGACTGGCGCTGCGCTCAACTGCTCTTTTAGATCCTTGATCAATTGTTCCTTCCATATTTTGCGCTTCACTTGCCAGACGCCCAAGCCGAATGTTGTGGCTGGAATGAGCTAGAGTCGGTAGAAAGACTTGATATTTACAAGACTTATAGGAAGATCTGTTACCCACCAGCAAGAACCATCCCAGACCGGTGATCTTCTCCTTTTCTTTGGCCGCTGGAGGTGGAATTGTAGTCCAATCCATGCGCACTCGCTGTTGTGTCATCTTTCTGCTGACCACCTGTAGGTTCGCAATCCCTGTGACGCTGTATGCATTCTGCCTCATGCCGTCAACTTGGCGGCACAATTGACGGCCCAAACGCAGCATTTCGTGCGTAATTATCACTTGCTTTCTTTTATTTAATTTTTTTCTTTATTTTTTTCGATTTAGAGATTTCACATTAGCGATGGGTAGCTGTCGATTATTGAGTCTAGAGATGGAACAAGCACGATTCACGATATCAATATCGGATTTTTGTAAATAATTTTTCACTCTCATCCCTAGTTTTTTCAAAAATGTATCGGTTCCTATAGCTGCAATACAATTGTGATAAAAATATTACAGCTATCGATAGTACGATAGAAGTAGTTACCGAAGAAAGTCCATCAATGCGAACAGCTGTTTTCGGCTGTTGTCGCGTGCAATTGGTTTTTTTTACTCGACTTTTGTTTAGCCAATTTGTAAATTTTTTAAAATGCTGTGCACTCGGGCAGTAGCACGAGTAGGAAGTGCTGCCAGCAAAACATGGGCAAGTTGAAATCGCACTGGTTCAAGATATATAAATATATATATATGCATTGCATGCAACTCTTATATAAACACGCAAGCAATAACTTCATTTTTGTTATAGGTAACACAGCCGACAATTAGGAAAACTCATGCGAAATTTTCGGTTTTCGAGCAATCCTGCCGTTTGTGTTCCTCCACCGGAGTTGTGGATAGCCCAAATAAGACAAAGCCCGGCACAGGAGCGACTCCCGGAGCCGTAGAAGACGGCATTCTTAAACGAGTGCTAACTAAAGTGGGATTCGCACCGAACACAAAAGCTGTATGTCAAAGATGCCCTATCTAAACTGAAATCTTTCATGTTTTTGCATATCTTCCCTGTAAATAGCGCCTCAAGGTAAGCAGCCACCTGCTGTACGAGAGTGTGGCTGACAAGATCAACTATGTGGTCTTCTTTCGCGACTTTAATCTGCCCAACACCTTCAACTCCTGGTTCCTCGTCACGGAGCTGCATGTGTGGCTTCTGCTGATGCGCTCCATGGCCGAGGGCTCTGAGACGGGTGAGGACGGACGTTTCCTGCGCAACTGCATCGTGGAGGCCATGTGGGGCGATGTCAACACCCGTGCCAAAAAGTTGGGAGTGAGTTTTAAGTTAAGTGAGTTTTGGTTCTAAGTTAACTCTCGTTTTCGCTCGCAGGCCCACAATCCTTCCCGCACCCGGCAGCAGATCGAAACGTTATCCGAGCAGTTTCAGGCAGCTCTTATTGCCTACGACGAGGGCATTATGTCCGATGACCGAGTACTGGCCTCTGCCCTGTGGCGCCGTTTTTTTGAGATGAACTGCGAGGATTACGCCCAAATCGAGCGGCTGGTGAAGTATGTCCGCCAGCAGGCAGCCATGCTTGACAATTTGCCGCGCGATCAGTTTATTATCAAGCCCAAGGTAGCCTGGCTGGATCTAGACAAGTGCAAGGCGTAATCTTAGTTTCTGTTTTTTATTTTTAATAAAGTTAAAGCGAGTATGTGAAGTTATATGGCCAGATCCTCCACGGACTGATTCCTTAAGGCACGCAGCTGGCACTTGAGCAGAAATGCTGTGATCCTGCGCTTAGCTCGTTTTCGCTGAGGTTCCTTGAGCTGGGCGAGGACTTGGTCCATCTGGAGGTAACTGCTTCGTGGGGAGAGTATGTGCGCTGGTTGGGGTTCCTCTTCTGCCTCATATATGATCTCTTCCTGAATTATCTGATCGTTGCGCTCCTCGACGATCTCCTCTATAATAAAAGTGCTTGGGGTTTGGGGTATTTCCCCATCTTCGTACGTCTCCCACAGGAACTGGACAGCGGTCTCTTTTTCGTTGACAACTGTGTCCCTATTGCTTGGGGAATCCTTGGCTTTGGGCTTGCTCCTGGCTCTGGGTCGAGGCTGGCTGTCTGCCAGAAATCGGAGGCGTTCCAGGTACGGCCAGGTAGAACCGCTGGTGTCTGCCCGCCGAAACTCTTTACGGAATTGGTAGTGTAGGTTGTTCCAGCGCATTAGGCAGAAGTCCACTGGGAAGAGTAGATTGGTTAGATGAATTCTAGGGATAAGTTCGGGATTCCCACCATCGCAGCCCATTTTCTGTGAAATCTGTGCCCAAATATCCGTTTTGGCCTTCATGGCTTCGTAGTTCGACAGTCCAGATCGTTTATAGAGCACGGGATTGGGTTCTACCAAGGAAATCAGCTTAAAATCGAAGGGACGGTTCTTTTTGTAGCTGGTCCGCATTGTTTATGTCTTTTAAGATTTTTCTTTATTTTAAGTGTGACCGTCTCCATAACACTCGGACATTTTGCCACACTTTAAATTAGTCTGAACTATTGGAAAATAATATCGATATGACGTACAGTAAGCTATCGATAGAATATTGTGACAGAAAACAGCATAAAAACTGAACGCGGGAATTCGAAATGAATGTATTCATTTATTTCAAATTTACTTAATTAGTGCATTTTTTGAATTTGATGTTAAACGTTATGAGAATTTGTAAATAAATAGTTTGAGTAATTACTGTATTCTGCCGATGCATTTTCAAGTGTGACCGTCTCCATAACACTCGGACATTTTCCAACACTTCAAATTAGTCTGAACTAACGACGTAGGAGCTGGAAAAATTGTGAAGTGAAAAAATTGTTAAAAGTGCTATAATTACCTCAATTTGGCCAAAGATCTACGCACTTGCAATCACCTAACAATGAACATGTAAGTGACAAATTAGTTTTCGCATTCGTAGCTTCCGTTTAGCCGGAATTCGAAGAGGCCATGAGGCCGGGGGCCAAGTGTCGAAAATCAATAAATTCAAAATGGCAGTAAAAAATGAAAATTACATAAAAAAGGATTGTTCATTGCGAAATTCTACATTTTGGCTTTGCTTGAAAATCCAAATTCCATTTTCATGGCATTTAACGCTCGTTTTAGGTACAACGGACAGGTAAACGCCTACGGCGGCGGTGGAGGAGCAGCTGGAGGCGCAGGCCTGGCCGGCGGCATGATTCCCAATCGCATGGGCGGAGGTGGAGTTCCGCCCGGCGGCGCTGGAATGTTTCAACGCAATCGCTCGGCCCCGTATCCGGGCTTTAATGGACATGGCCACGGCCCCGTCAATGGCGGACAGCGTCGCATAAATGGCGGGCCCGGCGTGGGCGGCGGCATGGGAGGACCGCGCGATGGTTTCGGCGGACAGAATGGCCAACGGTCGTCCAATCATGGTGCTCATTTGCCCAAGATAATATGGTCGGAGGTGAACCTGACTCCGTTCCGCAAGAACTTCTATAAGCCCTGTGACTCGGTGCTGGCCCGGACCCCGGTCGAAACTGAAACCTTCCTCACTAGCAACGAAATCACCATTAAGGGCGATCAGGTTCCCACGCCCAGTATTGAGTTCGAGGAGGGCGGCTTCCCCGACTATGTGATGAATGAGATCCGTAAGCAGGGCTTTGCCAAGCCTACCGCTATTCAGGCCCAGGGCTGGCCTATTGCTCTCAGCGGCAGGGACTTGGTGGGCGTAGCCCAGACCGGATCGGGCAAAACTTTGGCCTACGTCTTGCCGGCGGTGGTGCACATCAATAACCAGCCGCGCCTGGAGCGCGGCGATGGACCCATCGCGTTGGTGTTGGCTCCCACCCGGGAGCTGGCCCAGCAGATCCAGCAGGTGGCCATCGAGTTCGGAAGCAATACGCATGTCCGCAACACCTGCATCTTTGGTGGAGCACCGAAAGGGCAGCAGGCTCGTGATCTGGAGCGCGGCGTAGAGATCGTGATCGCCACACCCGGCCGACTGATAGATTTCCTTGAGAGGGGCACCACCTCGCTCAAGCGCTGCACCTACTTGGTGCTCGACGAGGCCGATCGAATGCTGGACATGGGCTTCGAGCCACAGATCCGTAAGATCATGCAGCAGATCCGCCCAGATCGTCAGGTGCTTATGTGGTCCGCCACTTGGCCCAAGGAAGTGCGCCAGCTGGCCGAAGAGTTCCTGAACAACTACATCCAGGTTAACATCGGTTCGCTATCGCTGAGCGCCAACCATAACATCCTGCAGATCGTCGATGTCTGCGATGAGAACGAGAAGCTGATGAAGCTGGTCAAGCTGCTGACAGACATCTCGGCCGAGAATGAGACCAAAACCATTATTTTCGTGGAAACCAAGAAGCGCGTGGACGAGATTACGCGCAATATCTCACGCCAGGGATGGCGCGCATGCGCCATTCACGGCGACAAGTCGCAGCAGGAGCGCGACTTTGTGCTGTCGAGTTTCCGCAATGGCCGGCACTCAATCCTCGTGGCCACCGACGTGGCTGCCCGCGGACTGGGTGAGTAAACGCCGTAGAATTTAGCGGGTTTGGCCACAAACCCAACAACCCTCAGTGTTTTTTCTCTCCATAACCAAGCAATTGTTGCCTGTGGATCAATCAGCATCCCGTGGGGTTTCTTTCCATTCATTATTTTGTGATTCGTCGTCGACGCCTCCTGGTTCGTCTGGCGTCTCAGTGATCCGTCAGCGATGAATCGGCCAACACCGTCCCAGACTCTTCGCTTCTTCCCCCTTCCGCTAGCTCTGTTTTTCCAGAAAATATATTTTTTTCTTGGGTTCGGGGTCAGTTCCGGATTTCACATGCACTTACATAGAACAGTGGTTCCGGAAAAATGAATTTAATGATTCAATGGGTGTGTTCTCCCATTATCGCATTACGTTTTTTTTTTTACTTATAAAAATGTACAGAGACTTGTCGACTATCTGTACATTTATATATTTTATTGTAATTAAGACAATGTTAATTTTATAGTTTTGATTTTATTTAAGCAGAAAGCCGACGATAATATCTCCATACACTCGGTTTATGAGAACCAAAGGACTCTATTTTTATACCCTTGCAGGGTATTATAATTTCAGTCAGAAGTTTGCAACGCAGTGAAGGAGGCACCTCCGACCATATAAAGTATTTTTATTCTTGATCAGCATCAACAGCCGAGTCGATCTAGCCATGTCCGTCTGTCCGTTTCTACGCAAACTAGCCTCTCAGTTTTTTAGCTATCTGAATGAAACTTTGTAGTTAGATTTTTATATACTCTCACTCGTATATATGTCGAAACGGGCCGGATCGGACGACTATATCATATAGCTGCCATAGGAATTATCGACAGGTATTAATTTATTGTTTTTTAACATAAATATATATAATTTATATCAAATTGATTTCTAGTCATCGAAGTTCTATCTGCAAGGGTATATAAACTTCGGCGTGTCGAAGTTAGCTTCCTTTCTTGTTAAGTTTTGTAAAAGTGAAAACCGGAAATAGGTCAGTTGTTATTATTCTGTTTGCATGTTTCGACCTACCCTCTATTTCAGTTGGACGGAGTGTTCTGTATGGATCTTTAAAGAAATATATTATTTTAAGGGAAGACTACCCTGTGTTTTGCATCCGTCCAATCCAATTTCGCGTCGTTCGATTCCTACAGTTTCCACTACTTAAAAGATTCTCCGATAACGAAGAAATGGTGTGGGCTCAAATAATGAGGGGAATGTGTGTTTGTTCTCCATGCATTGCTGGTTATAATATGATGTTGTTTTAACGTTTAGTTTGTTTGTGGCTCTCTCTCTCTTGCTCATTGTTTTTAGTTCTGTCTCGTCAATCTTACATTTTGCATAACCTTAACGTTTTAATATATATATATGCAACATATTGTCAGTCAAGGAGTCCAATGGCCAAGATAAAAATATTCTAAAAAGTATTAACCTCAGTGCACCCTAAAAAATAACCCTTTAATCATCGGATTAAGCAATAAGACAAAATAAATTGATAAGATTCGTATTGCATACGGTTTTTTTTGCACTGGAATTTCCAGTCTATATTCGTTACGCATCTTTTTCATTTATATTGTCTTTTATAAATATAATTTTCCTTAAGTTATTTTATTGTTTTTTATGTGTAATTAAGTATATTTATGAAATAGTAACTAAAGTGATTAAGTAACATTTAAAACAAAAAGAGAAATAACAATTTTGCAGGCCACAAATTTTTTGACTGATGCTTACTTTTCGTAGCTTATTTATGTAGCCTAAAAAGTATTATCTATATTTATATTATTAAGTCGCTCCTTACTCTATGTATAAAAACCGAAATTTGTGTGTGAACAAAAATATCATCAGCACTTTATGAAATGGACTTCGATTTTTCAAAATGGCAAAATAGGCTAACAAAAAAAATAATAAGAAAAGAGAAAGAAAGAAAAGTTAAAAGTTAAAAAGTTTATATACACAATGAAGTTAAAAATAAGAAGAAAAGCTATATATACAAGTTGAGGGTTGAGTTATAAGTTTCTAGCATTGCGGAGATCTCTCGGATCTCCTCTCATCGCGACCCAGACTCGGACACACGGACAGGATCTGCTGCGGGACACGACGACGACACACTGAGCGTAAGCCCAACAAACCCCCAAATCCATAAATTCTACCCCTAAACTATAGATCGCCAGGGTAAGTACTAGGCTAATTTTCTTCTTCCTCTTATCATGGCAGCAGAGTATATTCCGCACCCTATCTCCTTATAACTCTTCCCATACCCCCGTTTCCCAGCACCCTTTATCTTTCATAAGCTTTAATCATGCATTACCCCATATACATATATATATTCCTATTTTTAATCAAGCCGTCTCTTGTATGCATTAAGCTTAAAAAACATTTATAATTACGATTTGTGTATTGAAAGAAAAATATGAAAGAAAAGATGAGAAGGTCGAGGTCCACATTTCTGCAGTATTGAAAAAAACATATATCTATTTGCCAAAGATGTATAGTTATTAATATACGCTAAACAGTATTGATGGCGAAATTTTTGTTCAAAGTACAAGTAAATATACAGAAACAAAACAAAAAATACTAAAACCGAATTACCAACCGACATATTTCATTTAACGATCCGATCAAGTATCTTTTAAGTTATATTAACAAACTCAACCAAATCCAACGATTTGCACCTGATACTACTCTTACAGAGACCAAAACTGACCACATACACAACACATTACACACACAAATAAGTTTTCGTTTTTCGTTAAATAGTTTTTGAGTATTGAGAAAGACTCCTATTTTTGAGATGCATTGGATCGATTCGATATTTCTAACATTTCTCTTCACCCTTTCCAATTCTCCAATTTTCAAACTCGAAATGAAATCAAAATAAACCAACTGATCGTGATCTAGACGTTGACGATGTCAAGTTTGTGATAAACTACGACTATCCTTCAAACTCTGAGGACTATGTGCATCGCATTGGACGCACCGGACGATCCAATAACACCGGCACCGCCTACACATTGTTTACGCACTCCA